ACTGTGAAGCTGTTTCTTTTTCACAAGTATTCAGTGTGCAGAAGCTTCTGTTCTTTTATCAGAAAAAAATGCATCAAATGTTGCAGTAAATACAGAATATGGACAAATATCTGGAATCTAAATGTCGATCTAAGTGTGTTTCAGTTCAAAATGTGAAACGGTAAATGCAAACTCTTTCTTTTTCTCTCTTTTTTTCCTTCAGTGTGTGTTGCGAGTGTGTTGCATTCGTAGTTTTGGCCACTTCCTAACAAATCTCCAAGGCAACGTGCTGCACTTCAACCCAGAGGCGGGAATCTTTACCAGCATCAGCCAGTCAGAACAGGACAATCTGGTTCAGCAGGCTAAGGCCCAGTTCAGGATGGTGAGCGACTGCTGAGCGACAGACCCACAGCCCAACCCTATAATAATGCAACAAATGTGTAAATACTCATTTTTCATCTATGAAATATTTTTATTTCTGATTTGTCCAGGCGGAAGAGGAGGCCCGTCGGAATCGTTTGATGAGAGACATGGCCCAACTTCGACTGCAGGTTATTTATCAGCCTCTAGTTAAAATCAAAGCAGGATTACAGCACAAGCGCTGCGGTTTGTCAGCAAAACATCTGTTCCAACTACATTTTAATGTTGTTGAATTAGTGTCAACTTACGGACATACATTTCCGACAGGATCGAAAAGATAAAAGCATCACAGGAAGTCATACTTTTGAATAATTTTGAGATTGAGTAGCAAACCTCCTTAAAGAAACAGCACAACTTTGATAATTATGACTTTGAAAGTCAAAATTATAACTAAAGTAGAAATTGACTTTGAAAGATGAAATTGTTACTTTAAAAGTCAAAGTAATGACTTCTGATCTCGTAATTGTGATTTTTATTGTTGTAATTATGGCTTTGAATCTCATAATTGACTTTGTATCTTAAAATTATTACTTTGAAGAAGTTAAAATTATGACTTTAAAACTCCAAATTGGCTTTTATTCTTGTTAATAGGACTTTTTATCTCAAAATTATGACATTTCCGGTCACTTCCGGTGTAGCTTTTATTTTTTCTTTCATGGCAGGAATGATCTTCCATACAGATTCAAAGTAAAACTTTCTTCTTTTTGGACCTAATCTGCAGTTGGAGGTTTCACAGCTAGAGGGCAGCCTTCAGCAACCTAAAGCGCAGTCATCCATGTCTCCCTACCTTGTTCCTGACGCTGCCGCCCTCTGCCATCATCTGAACCTCATCCGACACCTGGCCGGCAGCGGCTGCTTCATCATCATCATCCCAAGAACAGGTCAGGAAGTCGCTGATACCTGCACCAGCCAAACGCAGCGCTAATAAGTTAGCAGATGTTTCCCCGTGTCTGTAAATATGTCATAGGTTATTTCCGGTCCACTTTCTGAAAGCATGATTTTTTTAGTTTTTATCAATGTTTGCTCCATTTGTGTTGCAGTGATTGACGGACTGGATCGGCTAAAAAAGGAAAATGGTGGTGCAAGAGACGGGATCCGCTTCCTGGAGTCGGAATTCCGCAAAGGAAACAGGTGAGTGTCTTCAGAGTGGATCTGTCACCTGTGGCTATTTGGACCCTCCACAGAGGGTTGCTGAGCAATGTTTTTAAATTGAAATGATATAAAAAAATTCCAGTTTTAGCCATTTTTTATGTTTTTATTGCAATATTTGCAGTGGGTTTAAGCAGAATTACATCATTACTGCAAGTTTTGTCCTTTTTACTGCATCATTTTCAATAAATATAGAACAAATATGTTAATAATAAAGAGAAAAAATCATCTTACTTTTAAAAAAGTTCATGTTTTCTTTATTTTCTAATCAAAAATAAAATGGCTATTCTTTAAAAGTCAAAACTATCATCAAAATATGTTTTTGCAAACAATTTAAGTTAGTGTTACAGACACATACTAGTGACGTCCTTCCTCTACGTCTCCTGTCTGTAGGTACATACGTTGTCAGAAGGAGTCGGGTCGCACTTTTGAGAGAGATAAACTGAAGCGGCAGGACATCGAAGCTTGGTGAGCTTCGCTTCATGCCAGTCGTCTCTCGCTGCGCGAAACCTCTTCGCCGTCTGACTGCTCTGCTCTGATCCGCCTCGTTTTTCAGGCATCTGTATAAGATGGTGGACAGCTGCCGACAGCTGACGGTGTCCCAGAGCAATGGAGACGAAGACACAGCCGGCATGGTGACCATCCTGACAGGACATGAGGTGGACGAGCTCTGCGCTCGGTCTGCCGCCATGAAGGTCCGTCTCTCTTTATGCTCTTGAGTGTTTTTGTATCAGAATTTCCAAATTGTCCACTGATTCGATTTCTGGACATCTCACATTTTGATCTGCCAATTTTGTCACAAAATTTCAATAAAGAAATTTATTGAAATTTGTGGTTTCAAGGTGATAAAGTGAATATTTTTCAGGTAATATTTCTTCATCCAAAGCTCAGATCTGGTGTTTATTTTCTTGCTCTTGTCTCTGCCAGTCGGTGACCCAGGCCGCGTCGTCCGCAGGCATGGAGCTGAAGAACATCGTGGAGTTCTACCGCCAGTGGAAGGAGATCGGCTGAGAGCGTACCGGGGGGGCAGCTGTCGGTGCTGCGAGCAGCTGATCGGTGACAACACTCGCTCCCTCTCTCTCTCCCACTCTTTTGCTCTGTGTGTATCTGCGTCTCCAAAAAGGAAAGAAAATCAACTCAAAAGAAAGCTGGATCGGAGAGTTAAAAGTTTTGAGGGCTTGAAACGGAAATAAAGAGGAGGTTAAAAAATAAAAAATAGATAAAACAAAAGAAGAAAAAGCAGGCAAAACGAGAAGCAGCAGATCTCCCACCTCTCAGTTTGTTAAACCTAAAGCGTGAGTGCGGCAGCGGCGGCGGCGGCGGCCGTGGGAGGAAGCGATGGGAGGGCGTGCCCCTGGTTCACCTCTAACCAGGAATACACTGTATATGTTAGCAAACGAGTACATTTGTGTTGAGAGAATCCGCACACACAAACTCATTCACGCTGAGATGAATCCATATAGATATTTAGAGCAGTGTTCTGGATTTCCCTTCCCTCTTTCCTTCAGTCTGATTTCCAGAAGCAGGGTCAGGAACACGAGCCGAGAGGCGGAGGAGGTGCCGCCTGACTTCCATCTATCAGAACCAAACCAGGCGCCTCGTCGCCCACAGGCTCAAAGGAAGACGGATATATGGTTTCTCTAATGTCTTTTTTTATTTTATTTTATTTGGATTTATTTTTTTCCTTATTTTCGGTGTACTTTTGTGACCAGTGACGTATGTATTGTGCTATTTGTCTGAGAAAAGAAAGAGAAAACGCAGCAGGCTTTGACCTGTTGGAAGATTTTCATTTGGATTTTATTTTTGTACCCAAATGATGTTATTTTTCTTTATTTTTTTGTTTTGTTTTTTGTAAGCTGAATCTGAATGATAAACACAGGAATGTCTAAGGGAAAGGGGAAGGGCTTGTTATTGTGTGTTGATCCACTGAACCAATCCTGAACAGAAGCTAAGAAAGCAGAATCTATTTATCAGGTTAGAGGGAGCAGGTAGGTGGAAGCTGATTGGTGGAGATCAGCTGACCTGTCCTGTGGGCGGGGCGGGGCGAGGCGGGGCGGGGAGGGGGGTCTGGGTTGTGTCTGGATGTCTGTAAACTCCTGAAATGTATCCCATCAACATCACCATCTCCATAGTGACTGTCCCATCATGCACAGTGCAGAGGAGAACCAGTTTATGTGGCCATGCAATGAACAATAAAGAGAAACTGATGCTGATCTTATGACGGTTTTTCTTTTTTTTCTGCACAATTATAGTAAAATAGAAGTGAAGTACAAGTCTAGAAGAGATTGCATTCACTTTTCAACATGCATTTCAGCCATTTTTTAGGATGAAATGATTATTCAGCAAACAACTTAAACAGAAAATAGGTTGGTAATTTTTGATCAGTCCTAATTAGACATCTATGCTCAAAAGTTTGAGTCTGAATACGTATGATATAGGAAATTGACTTAAGATTATTCTCATTTTCATTCAAAATATTTGTTTAAATGAACATGTGACATGTTCATTTTAAACTAAAGAAATGAAATTGATGTTTTTAGATACAACTATACACCTTTTTTATCCACCAACAAGCTTGCAGCAAAATCAAGATTATGTTTATCATTACAATTACAAATCAGAACTTCATCTTTGAATTGGTGACATCATAGGCAAATAATAAACCATACAAATAGAAAATATAAATAAAGCAATAACTTTGAATGTATAAAAGCATTAAAACCAGCTATACCAAGTTCACTATATCATTAAAAACATACAATCATCTATGAATGTCTGTTTAAGAAAAACATGATGTAGCTAACGGTTGTGAAGCTCTACAACAGACACTGCATTTCATCAAGTGGCATCATTAGAATCATCAATACAACAACAACAACAGATATATTGGTTAACGTTCTTTTGTTATGGTCAAAAGCAGCTCTGAGCTCTGAGGTGGGTTTTAGTCTTGATTTAAAGGATCTCAGTGTTTCAGCTCTTTGCAGTTTTCTGAAAGTTTGTACCAGATTTGTGGTGCATAAACACTGAATGTTGCATTCGTAGCTTAAGTTGCACGTTTTGGGGGAAAAAACCCAAAAACAACTGTTAATGCAAAGTTCTTCCAGAATGATCAATATCCACATTTATAGTCTAGTTCTCCTGCACTGGAGGAAAAAGGGAAAGTTGGGGCTGGAATACAGATTTTCCAGCAGAATGAGCAGTTTCCAGAGGAGAAACAGCGCAGCTCTGACATTCCTCCAGTAAATGTGAGTGAGCTCCTCGTGTAAATTCTCCCAAGGGCCCCTTTCCTCTTTTCTCTGAATCTGGGTCTCTCTGTGCCATTCCTTCCTTTCTTTCCTCCCCTGTCCCTCATTGAGCCCCTCTGTCCCTCTGCAGGCCCGGTGCCCAGCGCTGACGAGCGAGCGCACAGAATAAATAGCCAGTCCCCTGACAGGCAGGAGGGACACAGAAGACGGCTGGCACCGGTGCTGCTGGCCCAGTTTGGGAGTTTTTTGTTTTGTTTTGTTTTTTTCTGGGTAAGTGGGTTGGGAATCCTCAGTGACCCAGTTTTTGGGGTCTGCCGGGACTTTTGGTGTGGACGGACCGGACTCGGATGCTGCTGCCACTGGGACGGGATGAGAGATTATTAGAATCACAACCCGGCCGGGACCAGCCCGTTTCCGCATGAGAAATGTCCACGCAGGGGTCTGTGCTGGCGCTCGGGAAATGTCTGGCCTGCTTGGAGTTCATGCGTAAGTAACTTCTCTGTTTTGTTTTCTGTCTGAAATCATTGTTTGTAGAAAATGTAGAAACTTTTCTGAGCCCGATCGAGAAAAAAAAACAGCTTCCATTTTTCCCCCGCATCCAATGGAAGCAGGGAGGGAAGGATCCGGGTATTCGGGTCCAGTGATGGAGGGAAGGATCCGGGTATTCGGGTCCAGATGGAGGGAAGGATCCGGGTATTCGGGTCCAGATGGAGGAAGGATCCGGGTATTCGGGTCCAGATGGAGGGAAGGATCCGGGTATTCGGGTCCAGATGGAGGGAGGGATCCGGGCATTCGGGTCCAGTCATTTAATTTTGGTTTACACTTGCATGATTTTGCATCACTGTAGCTCTGGCTGTTTAATGTCCTGGAACTTTGAGATATTAGAGTTTATCAAACTTTTGATACACAGTTTGAAGCTGGTTGGTTGGACTTTGCAGCAATTATTCCTAGCATTGTGACAGTGGATTTCTGTTTTCAACAAGTTAACTTTGCAACAATACTTCTCACAGAACAAGCATATGGTGACAGAGGAAAGGAAAACAAAGTGTGATGAAGCTTTAACAGCAAGAAACCCCCAGCAGAACCAGAATCTGTCTCAATAGCTGCACATTCAAAAACAAATGAATGGAAACAAATAAATTGAGGTGTTGTTTTTGGCTGTGTTAAAATACATGTATTTTCCAGAATTATAATGGAAACATTTTTTGCATCACATCAGTGACATGATCAACAACCAGATGTTATTGTTGCCACAAACCAAGTTAATCCAAATGTGTTGGGGTTTTAATACTGAAGGAAAATGTACAAAATTATTCTTTTGTGATTCATTTAAACTTTTGAAATTATTTTTTATTTATCCAACATGTGTGGTGTGTCCTTACTGTCTGCAGGTTTTTACATTACAATTTTAAATTAATATATAAAACAAGTACGACTATCCAGGCTTAATTTGAAGAACTTAGGCAAAAATAGCAGTTTTTCCTTCTGGAACAAAGACATGAACTCAAACAAGACTTCAGAAATATAATAAGAGGAGTGAGGCTGGAAGTTTACACTGCAGTGAATCAAACAGGATGTCCTCTCTGGACAAAAGACAAAAAAAAAAAATTCAGACAATGAAAGTTCAGTTAAAGTGTAGCTGTTTACATCATCTAATCTCAAAATACAGAACAAAACAGACTGGTTCCATTCACAGCTGTTGATGAAAAATGTACTAAATCATTGTATCATAACGGTACTCTCTGAATGGCTGCTGTGTTTTTCTCTAAAATCCGATTGTTGTTCCCAGTAACTGATAACATCCAAAGAGACATTTTGTTTCATTTTTGTGTTTTTTTTTTCCATCCCTGTTTGCATTACTGATCTGGCATTGAAGTGACATGTTGAGTTATATTCTTCACAATCAGAGCAGCACTCGGTCTGCCTTCTCCAGTCTGCATGCCATCCTAATGAGAAAAGGAGAACACGTTATTCGAAAGAAGGTGTTACTTTTAGAGGTGCATGTTGAAATGAACAGCTGTTTGTCAGAACCTGCTTCCAGGTTATTTTTTAAAAATGTATTTTCTTTATTTCCTGGGCAGAAGTCTGCAACACAGAGCAACCTGGTTACAGAATAAAACTAATAAATACATTGTTTTCTATTGTCAGGCAATAGAAAACAATTTAAAAGCAGTGATACTGTTTCATAGATTCTTGTTGTCTGTTTTTAAGAACCGCTCGAAGTAAATCCAATGAAATCAATTCTGACATCTTGAGTTCAGCAATAGAGAAGTTTTCTAGAGTGAGAAAGAAACCTTGCTTTTGTCTTTCAAACCCATTCAAAACCAATTTCAGAGTTTGTAGTGGGTTTGAACTACATTGAAAGCAGATTGCAAAAACTGAATTAGCTGTGATAGTGATGAAGAATAGCAGTAAATTACTAAATCATCTGCATAAAAATGATAAAAAGCATTTGACAAATTGTCACATAAGTTATTTATATAAATAGAGAATAAAAGTACTGAGCCTTGAGGTACGCCGTTTGAAATAGTAGGAATAGAAGAAATGAAGCCAGTCAATTGGACTCTGGGTTCTGTTTGGCAAGTGATCAGCTGCCCACATGGTGGCTTGATGTGAGAGCCCAATCTTGGCCATGTTGATTTTCTGGTGTTTGTCTTTTTCAATTCTCTGAGAACCTCAGCTGTACAAATAGGGGAAAAGTTAAAAGGAGTTACAATCATTATTCAAAAACAGCTCGTCAGTATTTACATTTTTGTTTCATGAATTTAAATAATCAAATAGAGCCTGCAGAAATGAAATGCTCATTAAAATAATTTAAAACTTCTAAGGTTAAAACTCGCAGTAAAACCTGATCACATAATTAAACTGTTTTTAAAATGTTGCGATGCGAAGTGGAAGGTGAATTTTAAGTCTATAAAAATGAAAAAGTTGACAATACAGGAGGATATTTAGGAGCAAGTTCCTTAAACAATCTGGACTAAAGAACTGGGAAAGAACCGGCTCTTTTCGAGTCGTAAGCAAGCCGAAAGTTGTGGATCCTGGAAGAGTGCTGGAATTCCCATCGCTGCTGGAACACATGGCTCTTGTTGTTGTTCCTGCGGAGAGCCACGTGAGCACCGTACGGCGCTTCCTATTGGCTGAGCCAGAACAAGAGACAAAAGAAAAGCAGCTGTGGACGTTCGGGCCTTACACAATTAAACGGAGACACGGAGAGCGGAGGACGCTCAGCCCTGTCCAGTCCAGCCCAGCCCAGCTGTCTGAAGGTTCTGTCGAACCGGAATGGAGGAGAAACGCCGCGGTAAGTCGGTTCACCTTAAAAATAAAAAAAAGCTTAAGAGGATTTTGATGAACTTTCTTCTAGTTGAAGTTTTCCAGCTGTTAAGTCTCTGGTAGTCTGTCGCGCTACAGAAACGCTCCTGTTTTTCTCCAAATGCCTTTAAATTAGAGTTTAATAAGTGGGAAGGAAAAGCCAGAAACACATTTAACTGGGCTGAGGCAGTTAAATGTGTTCGTTTGAGCTGCATGGTAACTCTTTACAGCGGTATTTTTCCATAATGCTGGAAGTTTGGGACATTAGCTGATCTCTGGAAAACTACATTTCTAAGGACTTTTTAAGAAGTTATAGAGAACTCTAAATTTAAAGCATTAACGTGATTAAATTACCAAATAAAAGTGCAGAAGCATCTCTTCCACACCAAGACAGAGTTTTGCTGTTAAATCTCTTGAACTCTTCCAGTTGAGTGTTTGTTAAAAAGTGACTTCATGGATGTTGAGCAATAAGCAGAGACATTTCTTTTTGACACCCTGGACTTACTGACTCAGTTATTACATAATTCAGAGATGCCTTAAATGAAACAGAAACACAGAGATGTTGCTGGTCTGGAAGATGAAGTCATCTTTCCAGAAGAACTGATGCTGTTGCACAACATGACTGAGATGCTGACAGTTTGCAGGAAGGCGGTGAACAGGAAGGAGCAGCGGTTGGGGATCCTCCTGCATGACTTCAGCCTGAGTAAGCACAGGGAACTGAAGATGGAAACCTCATCTCGTGACTCACTGTCATGCTTCTGAACATGCAACAGTATGTCAAAAAAGTCGCCTCAGTCAGTCAGGGTTCAACGGTTTACTCTGTATTATTTTCCCTCATTAGGATGTTGGTTCAGATCCCAGTGTGTGATTACAGGCCCTTCAATGCTGGTGATTTTACTGTGAAATGACTTTGTCAGACTATGAGCTGTTGGTGTTATAAAATGAATATTGTACTTGTTAAGAAAACTTCAGTTTTTTTCTCCCTCTAATATTATTTTGGAGGTTTATTTGGAGAAGTTCTGAATCGTCACCATCTTAAATAAGATAAGTCTCTTTTATCCTTCAGGTTGCATAAAACTTGTAATACATTGATCATGCAATCTACACCAAAAATAAAAACTTTTTCTGGTCTGTAAATGCATCAGCAAACACCTTATTCTCTAATAATGTTTGTGTTGAGGTTAGTAAAAATCAATTGAAGGATAGTAATGTGTTAAATTCACATTTTTTCCCACATTATGTCCACATAAAATGAAAACAAAATTACTTTGTTTGTATTTTTTTGACAAATTAATCACTTTTTTAATTCAAAGTGAGCAGAACACATCCAGTTGTTCTTCATTAAATTGATTAAACTTTGTTAAATTCAAATGTTTTTAAAGAGATTTACTCAGATCATATTTTTGTTCTATGGACAGTCTCTGTTTTCTGGATAAAAATGGAAGAAAATAAAAATGGGTTGTCTCCTGCTAAAGCAATATTTAGTTATTTAAGCTAACAATTTTCTGCATTTTATTATGAAACAACTATTTTTGTGTCACACAGAAGCTTTTTATGAAGTGATTTGATGCAAAATGTTTGACACACATGAGCTCTGTCCTTCTTAGGTCTTGTCTTTCTACCTGACTGCAATAATTAACATTCAGTTCTCCTGAGTTCTGCTAACCACATAAAACAATTTAGCCTTCTGAGATATTAGTGTGTGCGACCTTTATTTTTTGACCAGGCATTGTAGTTCAAAACTTGGAAGTTTTGTTTTTACGTTCAAAATAAAACAGAAATGAAAGAAAATGGTTGGAACCATTTTAAAATGGTTGTAAAAACAACCATTTTACAAGTTTGTTTTCAGACAGCACATACATTTTTAAAAAGTTCAATATGGAAACTTTGTGCTCGACTTGACAGTCAAATTTAGCTCTTGTTGTTGTTTAGAGTCAGTTTTTTCTGTTGACTTCCTCCACTCACCTGTTGGGAAAACACAGGTTTGTGTGTGTGACCTGACTGTGGAAACACACTCCCCATGGTGTTAACTTAACGAGGTGAGGTCACTGAGATCCACAGCAGTAATCGTTCTGCTCCAGACTGGACGCGTTCCAGCAGAACGCTGGAATTTTCCAAACTTCCACCCATGGATTGAGACGAGGGAGTTGTCCTGACAGAGCCTGTGTGTGTGTGTGTGTGTGTGTGTGTGTGTGTGTGTGTGTGTGTGTGTGTGTGTGTGTGTGTGTGTGTGTGTGTGTGTGTGTGTGTGTGTGTGTGCGCTCTCTGCAGACCCATCTCTCTGCCAGAATCAGACCCATAAAGATGTTCATTGAAGGAGGTCACATGATGAGATCATGAGCAGGGGAGGCGGAGGGTCTCAGATGGAGGGGAGACGAACAAAAGAAAATGTATTGTTGTTTTACTCAAGATGTGCAACTTTGAGATGCACATGATGGATTATCTGAGGTAATTTAACCTCTTTGGCATGAAGTATCACCTGTTTTGACAGAAAACTACATTTATTTGATGTTGTTTGCATAGAATTCAGTTTATTTTAGAAATGAAAAATTTTAAATCAAATTTTCTCATAGTTATTGCAATTATTAGAATAATTTTGTTTATTTTTAACTAGGGCTGGAATGATTTAATCAAAGACAATATATATTGTGATAGACACTTGATCAATATCAGTAGGTAATGCATCTGATAGAATATTCTCTGAAGTCTGATTCGGAACCACACAGCACTCTGGGAAATGTAGGCAGAGGAAAATCCTTAGCTGCTCAACCTCTCACAGCTAGCTTAGCAAGGCTTTTAGCATCAGCTACAGCATGTTGAGTAACTTGTTTCAGGTTTCTCCATCGTTCCTCATAACCGCCTAAAACCTGGATAGAGTAGGAAAGATCAGGCCACCAGTTTGTCAGTATTTCAGATATCTAAAATTGATAGTTATTTGTATTGACTGATCTAAAATGTCTATATTATGAAAGGTTTTTTATAAACCTTATCGCCCAGGCCTAATTCTAACTGCATTGTTCCATTTTTTCTCGATCAGTGGAAGTCATGGTACCAAAGTGCTTTCTGATAGAATAAGGGTTTATTTTATACTTCTAGATGTCCTCCTATTATCTTTGGATAATTAAATATGATCAATAACAAAGACAGCATTTAATTCAGCAGTATAAATCTGTTGTACTTGATCCAGAGGTCGGACTCCTTCCTTTAGTTATTACCTCAGGCTCTAATGGCTACCATGAAGAGCTCAGGACTTGTGCCAGAGTGTGTGCACGTCTCCTGAAGATGTTTTGTGTTGGCGGAGTGTGTGAGTGTGAGTGTGTGCGTGTGTGTGTGAGTATGTGAGTTGCCTCATTTCCATCCAGTTCAGAGTGTTGCAGCTGTAGTCTGGCCTCTGAAGGCTTCAGGCCACAAAGCTCACTTTGTCCCTGTTAGTAGGCAGATCCTGCAGCTGGGGTTCTGCAGATCTTGCAGCTGGGGTTCTGCAGATCCTGCAGCTGGGGTTCTGCAGATCCTGCAGCTGTGGTTCTGCAGATCCTGCAGCTGTGGTTCTGCAGATCCTGCAGCTGGGGTTCTGCAGATCCTGCAGCTGGGGTTCTGCAGATCCTGCAGCTGGGGTTCTGCAGATCCTGCAGCTGGGGTTCTGCAGACGGTGAGGGGCTCCGAGGTCCAGGGACCCCAGTGAGGCGGGAACTTCAGAGTTTAAGGAAATGTTTTATCCTGTCAGTCTGAAGACACACATTCTGATGGGTCAGCAGGTTTATTCAGCGTGGGTTCTGGCTGGGTCAACATTTAAATCCCATTTAAATATTTTAATTTTGATTTTGCTGTCAGCTTCAATTGTGAATAATTTTTAAATACGGTGTCTCAATTTCTTTTCTGTGTTTCTGCAGTTGCAAATAATAAAAATCAGCTGATCTGTGATATGGATGTAAAATTTTATCCCAATATTTTACCACTGTCACAGTAAAAGTGACAATAAGAGCCATTTATTGCATCTTTTTTAGGTAACTATGAGTTTGACTGTGTGTCACAGCAATTGTATACCCCTAAACACAACTGATGCTCTTTAATAACATTTCCATTTATAATGCGCTTCTTTAGGACACAAGTCACAAGAAGAAGTGTGATTTATATCCCTAAAACTGCACGATGTAATTACATTTTCAGATTTATTGGAATTTATTTGTTTTTATTGAACAAACAGTGGAAAAAAGAGTAAAACTGTCAACAATAAGGACAATTTTAGGGCGTTCTAAACATTATTAATTGTAATTGTAATTCATCATTAATTGTAATTGTAATTCATTATAATGGATTCCAATTAAATTTATTAACCGTTTCATTAAATGATTAAACTCTCATTTAGTTACTAATAAATGATGATGATTTCTCATTCAGTGTGATAAATAGGACTATCATCAAAAACTTCTTTACTTGTAGATGAAGTCTGGCATACATCTGTACGTTTTTATTGGGCACATGAATTATTTTCAGTGTAAAAACCAACCAAAAGCCGTGCGTGCTGCTGTTTGGTGATAAGTCTGTTAGGGAAGCTTTGTGCAGCAGTCAGACAGCGAAGCCCGTCTGAGATCCAAGTTTATATCCTGCTGCTGTCATTCTGTTTAAGGAATGCTCCTCGTTAACATGTTGCTGCACGCTCTGCGTCTGATCACCGGCGAATCCTGTTCCACAGAGCCGCTCATTCTTCCCACTGGCGCGTGGGAGGGTCTGAAGAGCAGCCACAATAAGAGATTGTTCTGCTGCAGTCAACAAAAATGTCTCTCTGAAGGACTCTGTCACATGAACTTGAATGCTGGAGATAAGCTGTGCAGCTTGGAGAATGAGGAAGATTTGTTTCTGTTGGCTCCCATTCACCACAGGGAGGATCAAAACCAACCTGACTGTGTTTGACGAGAAAAACCGGCTTTGATTCTCGCTGTGTTCGTTGTGTCCTGCAGTGTTTCCCGTGTGGAGGGGGATCGGGTCCAGCAGCGCCGTCGGGTGGAGCCAGGGCTGGGGCCGCTGCTTGAGATGGGAGCCCGGCAGCCATGAGAGGAGCAGCAGAATCCCGGTGTTTGACTACCCCGTCTGGTTGGTGTTCTGCCGCCGGGGGCGTGCCAGGCTCAGGGAGGTGTGTCAGCGGGGCAGGGGAGCAATCAGACTGCCAACAGACCTGCTGAGCTTAAAACTCCCCCAACTCTTCGACATCCATCAGGTTCCCAAGGTAAGAGTCAGGAGTCTTTCGTATCCTGCACCGGAAAAAACCTCCTGGCTACTCCTGACTGTCTGGAAACGTAAAGCAACTCAAGCACAATACTGAACCAATCACATAAACCAAAGAAAGTCAAACAATGACGCCACAGTTACCGTCAAAAACTCTAAAACAATTTTTAACCATGTCTCTGTGGTGAACTGGGGAATCAGGCCCATATTTAAGAGACACATTATGCAAAATCCACTTTTTTAGAAAACATTTTTCTAGATCCATTTGGGTTTCTACCACTTCAAAAAACATCACAAGCACTTAAAAAAACCCACCAAGATGGTGTTTGGCAGCAAGTTCCTGTTTTTATTTTTGTTTCTGGAATATGAGCCGTTTCCAAAACCTCCAAAATGTAAAGTCACAGTCAGCATCTGCGTTTCACCTAGCAACCCCGGCAAAGTCTAGCCTGTTACCTAGCAACCCCGGCAAAGTCTAGCCTGTTACCTAGCAACCCCGGCAAAGTCTAGCCTGTTACCTAGCAACCCCGGCAAAGTCTAGCCTGTTACCTAGCAACCCCGGCGAAGTGTAGCCTGTTACCTAGCAACCCCGGCAAGTCTAGCCTGTTACCTAGCAACCCCGGCAAAGTCTAGCCTGTTACCTAGCAACCCCGGCGAAGTGTAGCCTGTTACCTAGCAACCCCAGTGGAACTCCTGCATGTTTGGTCAGCTGATATTATCGCTGTACAATGGCTGCTGGCAAAGACAGGTGTTTTGTTGTTGTCTTGCCATCCAGAAACCACTCGCTGCCTTCTTTGTGCATGAGCCCCTACTAATACTTTTCAAAGATTTACGATTGGATCGTTGTAAATCTGTTTCCAGCCATTTTCAAATGTGAGTGTAAACGAAGGGATCAATTCATTATTTATTTATTTTGGTTATTGGTTTCAATAAAACATTTTTCAATTTTAATTGACTGAAGAAGATTCTTATTGGTGCAAAAAGAACAAATTCCAGATTAAAAACCAGCTTCTGAAGCTCTGCTTCACATAAAGTTGTTACCAGAACTTTTAGAGGAACCCAGGAACTGTTTGGTCCAAAGGTGGTTTTCCCAAACATTGTCACTTTAATTCTGATACGTCTCAGCTGAGAACTTCTGTTGACATTTTCTTCCTCCCTGCAGATTAACATGCAGACGGTTTTTCATCAGGGTTGGCGCTCCAGTTTCAGTTCTCGTGTCGACACTGGCCGCCGCGCCGTTGCACGGACCTTATCTTTGAAACCCAAATAGAGTTCGGAGGAGTTTTTGCATCAGAGATTTCAGTAATGCAAAGTCATGAATGTCAACAAACCCAGCTAAGATAGTGATGGTTTAAGATAAAAAGAATAAGCTCCAATTTTGTTTGATAAAACTGAGTCCTTTTGTAACTGAAGCATTGATAACTCATCACCACTGCTAAATATTTACAGAACTCCCATCTGTGTTTATGTTCACATCGTCTCTCTGGGTACAGTTTGATCCAGTTTGACATTTTATACCAAACAGTCGATTTCAGCACTTTGCCAGAGGATACTGTAACGCTGAGATGTTTTTGTAAAGCGTGCTGCTTCTAATCTGCACTACTGACTAGTTTATACATTTAATAACCCGACGCCTGGGTAACGGCTCGCTTTTCTTCCTAGATACATTTCTCAACTGGAAAGTCCATAATTACAAACATTTGGGTGAAGAAAGTGTTTATCTGTTGGCATAAAACATCTTTATTTTTTAGGAGAAAGTAGTTACTGAGCAGACCTGAAAGAAAATATTATTTACAGATTGGAGTTTGAAAAGCTGTCTTGGTAACAATCTTTTTTTTTTTTTATCATTATTTTATTTACGCGTGGTTCTGTCCAAAAGTTGTGACTTTCCTGTGTTGCTGGGAAGCTGATTAGTTTTTGTAATCTCCCAAAATTGTTTCGATTGAAATTGCACCAATTATTTTGATACAATTTGCTTTTCTTCTGGATTTGTTTGATGGCGCACACACACACACACACACACACACACACACACACACACACACACACACACACACACACACACACACACACACACACACACACACACGTTGCCTTTGTACTGGACTGGACTGAAAATGAGGAGCAGCTGAAGTCAAATGAAATCCTAAAACATCCTTCAGAAAATAGAAATGCATCGATCCAATATTAATATGCATCAGTCTAGATATTGGAAAAAAGAACAGGTATCAATGTGCCCAATCTATAAAGACATATCTATAGAGTCTGATTCTATGCTTTTTCTGCTGAGCAACATAATACTTTATTGTTATACTCCTAACTGCACTGACTGAACAAACTGAAGTTTTTGTGTTTTTCCATGTTTGACCAACTTGTTAAGCTGTTGGTGGATTTGACTGAGCTGAATTGGTGCCGAATTATCAAATACATTTTTAAGTGAGTAAATGTATTTCTGTGTTTCAAAAAATGAAACATTTAAGTCAGTTCAGCACAGCTTTCTGTATCGATGATAAAGCTCAGGAATCGGTACTGAAAGTGGAAATCATAAAGAAGTTTGAGGTTTAAAGAGGCGATGCGTCTGTGTTCAGGTGTTCAGGGAGGACAGCATCATCTCCGGCTATCGCCACCCTCAGAGCTCCGCCATGGACTGCGTCCTCAGCAGCTTCCAGATGAACAACGAAACCATCAACATATGGACCCACTTTCTGCCCACATGGTGGGTGGAAACACTTCAAACCAAGTTTATATCCACCAGCTTTTTATTTCTAGGTTTTATATAGTGGTGATCTGGTTTATGAAACCCTTCGTTGCAGGTACTTTGTGTGGCGTTTCTTGGCTCTGTGCTCCACCATGAACTTCCTGAACGACAGCTACACCTGGCCGCTGCTGGTCTACATGCTGCTCATCTGTATTTACCCGTTCACCTCCAGCTGTGCCCACACCTTCAGCTCCATGTCGGCAGAGTCCCGCCACATCTGCTACTTCTTTGACTACGGAGCCCTCAGCCTCTACAGTCTGGGTAAGACGCCAGAACAACTCTCTACTGTTTTTATTTTAAACCTGCGGTTGTTTTTATCTGCAATTTGAAGGTAAAATGTCATAGTTGATATAAACTAAGATCATTTTTTTCTCTTAAGATTTTAGATGCAAACATTAAAATGCAAGCTAGCACTTTACCACATACAGAACTGTCAGCATTAAGAATAGTAAAAAAAAAAAAAAAAAACTATTCGTTTCACATTTTGAATTCTGTTCAAACATACTTTAGTTATCCCAGGACAAAACTAAATCTAAGTCATCATATAAATATTTTCAGAGAATTGTTGACGACTATCATGACATGCTAGTGGCTCGGTATCTGAGCGACTTTTCACAACATACTATGAAGCCTGGGATGTTGGGAAGCACCTCTTATCCACCTCGTTTATTTTTGCTGTTCCTGCCTGTATAATAGTCACAGAATTTCACCCATTTCTGAAGGAAAAAATATCAAAACTATAATTTTATCTGCAGATTTTTAATCACAGCAAACTGTTGGATTCTATTAATTGTTCATGTTCAATATAAAAATCTCAACAAATCCTCGGAAGCATCTTCAAAAAGTTTCTTCAACTGATGATCCTATGTTTAATCTTCATGTAAGTCAGAAGTCGTTCATGAAATCCACTTAAATTGATAAATAAAATCCTGGAGACTGAATTTAAAGTCTCCTCATGTTTACAGTTGAAACTGGAGGGTTTTTTTTTCTAACCAGCTAAAAACTCAGAACATGATGAGCACATTATGAAAACATTCCTGATGCCGAGCATTTCCTCACACAGGAACCCTGAAGCACTTTGAACTATTGAGAAGTCGAGCCGTTCAAGGAATGTTTGACATGAAGCTCTTCAGCTTCTTGAACCTGTTTACAGGATAAATTTCACCTTATTTGAGATGAAGCAGGCTGGACATTTCTGAGAAAGTTTAACAGATAAATATGTTTTTGACTTGCAAATGTTCAGCAGTAACATTCAAATCCTTTTCTTTCCCTTTGTGTTGGAGCTGCAGCTGCTCTGATTTACATTTTACTGACTTTACTCAATCGCATTCAGTGTTCTGCTGATTTTTCTCTGCTTGGTTGAACTCATGCAGACCCAGATCCTGTTCGTGCTCACAGTAGCAGATCATATTTTCTGCCTTTAGGGGGTTCAGCACTGCACCATTTGAATATATTAACATTAATGCTGGAGTCTTGTTGGTGCAGAGATTTCCTTATGGAAAAACTGCCTTGCATAAATGTTTTTTGATGGTATAAAGTGCAGGACAGAAAAATTAATCCAAAAGATAAACATAGAAGCAATATACTGGTATTCATTCACTTACAAATGTCGCAGTTTTAACTCAATGTTTAATTAGCAAACTAAATATTTCACTTGCTGGATAGTTAGCAAGCTATTCAGTTAGCTTACTAGCTAAATATTTTGCTCCTAAATATTAGCTAACTAAATATTTAGCTTTGAACGAAATATTTTGCTTGCTTACGAAATATGTAGCTTGCAAACTAAACATTTAGTTATCAAGTTAAAAATTTAGGTTTCTAACTATTTATCGGTTCAGCCAAATAAATGTCAATAAGCTAAATAGTTAGCATGCAGACTTGGATTGTTGTGAAATATTTAGTTTATAACAAATATTTAGCTTTAAATATTTGGCTCCCCATTCTCATTACAATTTAAATGGCACTTTTACTCAAAATCAATACCATCAAGTTGGTATTTAATATTTTGTACAATGGGGGGCCCTAGTGGTTGAATCAGGAACAACAATGAACAGAACATTAAACAAACAGATGATGGTATGAATTCAGCCAAAGGCAAATATTGAAACTAAACACATTTAGTACCAACAGCTGAATAAAAATCAGCAAAGACAAACATGAAGGTGATTCTGTGAAAACTTTGTGAATCTGTTAGTATCCCTGTGTTTGTGTGCAGGTTGTGCCATCAGCTACGGTTACTACGTGATGCCAGACTGCTGGGTGAACAGTTGGCTTCATCAACATTTCGTTCTCATCGCCATCGGGAACTCGCTGTTCTGCACCAGCATGTCCTGTTATTCCAGGTAACAATCTCCCAGCTCTTCTGGATTGCTGCATCTGAAATTACAGTTCAGCACCTGGAGGAATTATGCTGTTTCACTTAAATGTCTGTTTTTCTGCTTTTTTGCACACATTTAATATGAATATGGTCCTTTTAGCTTTTATTCATTTTGGTATAAATAGCCCACCGTAACTTTTCGTTCTTGACGTCTGGATATGCCTTTGCAAATCAGATTATTTTCACCGCAGCAGCCAGCCCTCATGTGGCCCAAATTACACTGGGATGCATTTTGTGTTTGTGTTTAAAATGTTGTAGATTGTGGATCAGGGTTTGAATTTGAAAAGCATGACTCCAGTTTGCTTGAGAAGTTCTCCAGTGTGTTTCACTTGGGTTTGCTTTCTGCCTGTAACTGAAAGCACCTGGAACAGCATTAAGGTTGTCATGTGGGCCTTAAACTCCCCACAGAAACCCAAATAAACTGAATTCTTTTAGTTCCAGCAGCCCTGAAACCAGATTATAAACGCTGCTGCTGAACAACCCGAGCTGCTGTTGAAAAGTGAAGCATTTCCTGTTTTTTTTTTTTTTTTTTTTTTTTCAGATTTGTGGAGCTGCAGTTCCCAAAGAGAAGTAAAGCATTACGAACCGGAGCGTTTGTTGTGCCGTTTATTTTCGACACTGTTCCTCTGTTTTACAGGGTGAGTCCCTCAGTTTGAACACACATATTTGATTACATAATTTCTCGTTAGTTTAATAAGACTTCGGCCCACTGACTCAGGATCTGACTTCCTTTCTTTTAGCTCAATGCAAGTAAATTCATGCCAGTAGCAATTCTACTAATCCTACGATTAGTCTGCGTTATATAATCTGAAATGTTGTAACAATCTAAATAACAATGGAGTTCTTTGATTCTCAGGCATTGATCTGCTTTTGGGGCGGCGGCACCCCGAGCGACGCTCTTTCCAGTCACTGTTACCATCTCCTCTTCGCCTTCCTCACCTGTTTCCTGTTTACCGCCCACCTCCCAGAGAGGCTGGCCCCCGGGCGCTTCGACTACATCGGTACGTCCAGATCCTCCGTCGGCGTCCTGAACTGTCTGAACTCCTGAGCTGCAGAAATCTGATCCAACAATGTAATTTTATAGAGGATTTGCTCAAAAAAAGCCAGACAAAGTAAAAAAAAAAAAACCTTTCCAAAATGAAGAAATTTTGCATATTTACTGTATTGAAAGAAAGGCGTCTTGTTTTCAGCTTTTTAGGGAGCTCAAATGAACAAATTTGATAATAAAAACAGGATTTGGGTCAGTTTCTCTCAAAACACTTTCTAAATTTAGCTTGGTTTAATAAATTCAATAAAAACTGATTTGTGTGGAGCCAGGTTGGCTTTTCAGTGAAATATCTGGATAATTGTGGCTCCACTTGCTGTAGAAGCTCAGTTATAAAAAGACGAAAACTTTGTGAGCACTTAACATTTTCCGTTGTTGGAAAATTATATCAGTAATAATTTTAGCCTGATTACAAATTTAAAGTCTCCATCAGTCACCTGTGCTGGACAGGTGGTCAAATCTGTATTATTTTTGATTTGTGAAAATTCAGTCCAAGGGCCACAAATGGCCCCTGAGCCACACTTTGGAGAGAGATACAAACTGATGTTTGTGACTACAGTGTTTTTGTCCTAAATCAGGGTGTAACTATTAAGTAATATTCTTCAATCTCTGCCTGAACAATACTGGATCCACATCAGAGGCTTTTGATTGGACGCCATGGAAACTGCTCCCATTGGTTCCTGTTTGTGTTTCATTGTTAGAAGTGATGAAGACAAGAAAGCAGAGTTTGTTTTTAAAAGTCAAACCAAATATAAAATAAACATCAGGAGAGATTTTATAACTCAAACTAGTTTTTTTATAATTTAAACCTTCACGTCCAAAAGTAGAAAAATGTTATTTAACTTTGTATTAATACAGAATCTGGGTGTAAATATTATTTCGGAAGATTAAGTTTTAGGATTTTAGGGAAAATGTGTTGTAGTTGCTGCTTATCTCATTTTTAACAAGGAGATAAAAAAAAATGTTTTCATACTGGTATTTTTTTATTTTAGATCATCAGTAAAAATTGATCAATTACGAAAATTATAAAAGGCTTGAAGCAGGGTGGTAAAAACAAAATGTAAGAAATTAGGTAAAAACAAATGTGCTCCAAAGAATTATTGAACTGAAACGATTTTAATTTCCTTGTATCAGAGCAGTGATTTAAAAACAGGAAATGATTTATTAATTAGGATGGAAATTAATTGTTTTAGTGCTATTTCACAAATATTTTCAATTACTTTTGCTATTTTTTTCCATTAAACTTCTTGTAAAATCTACATATAAAAGAAAAAAAGATTAGAAACAAATAACAAGGAGGCAGATTTCGACACACAAACATTTTCTTAAAAAAATGGTTAAATTTTTATCAAATGTTTGGAAATTTGTGTATATTTAGGCTGCAGTGTTTCTATGGATGCATAGAAACACCCAGGTGTGTCCATGCTAACTCTGCTCGCTCGTTCAGGCCACAGCCACCAGCTCTTCCACATCAGCGCCGTGGTGGGAACCCACTTCCAGATGGAGGGCGTGGTCTCGGACATGACGTCCCGGAGGGCGTGGCTCCAGCTCCACGGGGCGACGCCGTCCTTCCTGGGGACCGTCGGGGCGCTCGCCGTCAGCATCGCCCTCAACCTGTCCATCATCGGCATCTTCAGCGCGCCGCTGCTGTGGAAACCGCGGCCTGGCTCCGCCCAGCAGCACGCCTGCAGGGAGCAGTGAGGGGGCGTTCCCAAAGCGCGCGGACTCATTGGCTTTCCAAAGGAAAGGTTTCCCAGTAGCGCTGGTTTAACAGTTCCCTGTGTTGTTTTAAGTGTTTGTGTCTGTGCAGCGGCTGAAGACCCAGGGTTGGTTTCTGAAACCTCGTCCCGATGTTCGGGTTGAAGGACGCTTGCTGCAAGTTTTTAAACCTCAAACTGGAAACATACGGTTCAACTGAAAGAAATTCTGAGACTTCACCCAAAGTGTTCCTCCTAACCTTTCAGTTGGTCGGGTTTTTCTGTGGGGTAAAATAATGCAGATTGGATCGGCAGCTCTCAAACGTCCTCCGTTTGATTCCGCTCCTCGCCGACTGGAATTGATTTTCAGAGCCGTGCGGTTTCTTTTCCTTTTTCTTTTTTATTTCTCCTGATTGCCCGCCTCATTATGAGCCACACAATCTGCCCTGGAGGGAAGTTGCTGGGGGGGCAGAAAGTGTGGCAGTGATTAAAAGACAGGTACCACTTTCAGAGCGCTCCGTTCCCATGGCAGCGGCGGAGCGGCCTCTCGGTTTCCCACAGGAAACTGATGCTGATGAGATTCTGACCTTATTTTAACATTTATTTCACACACGTTGGTGGGATTCGGAGAAACAAAGTGGATTCATTTAGAATAATTACCATTCATGATGATTTTTGTAGATTTAAGCAAAACCATTAACGGCTCATTTATGCTTCATAAATGTCAAACCCAGTGATTCGTGTTTACATTATCCACTGACATAATTTATTTTAAGAAATTTTAGTTTAAATGTAAAATGTAGTAAAGAGGCAAGATTTTCTCCTATTAATTGTGTTTATCTTTAGAGGATCATGTTCTGTTTGCTCATTTTTAGAACCTTAGTGATCCTAAAACAAGTGGGAAAAAAATTCAGATCATAAAGCAACTTTTCATTTCAACATTTTAACACATTTTTTATTTAAAAATAGTTTGCTTGATTCAGGAAAAGCAGCGCATTCAGTATGGATGAGGATGGAGTGAAGGGTTAAAAGTGACGGGAAATATAGATTTTCAGAAATAAAAAACTTCTAAATAATTTTTTTGAAAGTCTTTTGCAAATTTTCTGTTTATTTTATCAAAGAAAATAAATTGAATCTAATATGGTCATTTTGTGTGCAGAAATCACACTAAGCTATTTTACTGCTTGAATAAAATAAAAAAAAATTCTAACATATTTGTGAGAAATAATGATAAATTACGATAGTTCCTCAAATGAAACATTTTTTGCATCAGATTATCTGAATGATGATTTTTGTGCGATTGTGGCTGAAAAATCTGGAAGAGAATATGCGAGATGGATTCTGGCATCAAAAAAACTGCTGATTTCTGAATTTTGAATAGTTTTTCCACTTGTTTTAGGAAAAGATCTTGACCTAAATGAGCACAAATAATTGAGTAGCCTGTTTATCCGGCAGCAGGACTAACAGAAGAGGACGGTTAACTGGAAGCTGGATGTTGCAGACGGTTCATTCTGCAGATGAAGGTTTTCTCTGTTCCTCATTTTAACTGACAAACGGGTTGAAATCAGTATAAAAGGGTTTTCTTCTCCGGTAGAAACGCCACGCTGCTAACACACGCTCACTCTCACACATTCACACATTCGTCACGTTTGGGGGAACGACTCGGTCAGAGGGATAACCGTAAGTGATTTAAAGGGAATGAGGTGCAGTCCAGGTCCGTGTCGGACGCTGAGGTGGAAACGTTGGATGGAAATCGTGAGTAGAAAACACAAAGTGCACACACACTTCTATTTTTTATATATATATTACCAGGGTTACTGTGCTTGGGTTGAGTGGCAGCATCAGATTACTCTTTACCCTGAATGTATTTTATGTAGTGTTTTTATCTAATTTTTTCATTGTTTTACCTCAGATTTTCCTCTTCTCAGTATTCGTCGTGTTGCAACATTCCCCAGTTTGATCCTGTTGATTTCAGGGATTTTCTGTGGCATTCCTCTCATTATTCTTCCTCAGACACTTAAGGGTCAAAACATATCTGAGAGCCTTCATTGCAAACTCGATGAGGCTGTGGAAAACCACCCTTGAAGCCAACTGCAAACCACTTGCACAAGTGTCCATCAAATGTGGCATATACCAAGGAGATGCTCTGTCCCCGCTACTGTTCTGCATAGGCCTGAACCCCCTCAGCCAAATTATCAACAAGACTGGCTACGGATACAGACTCAAAAATGGGGCCAATATCAGTCACCTACTCTACATGGATGACATCAAGCTGTACGCCAAGTGTGAGCGAGACATCGACTCACTGATCCACACCACCAGGATCTACAGCACTGACATTGGGATGTCATTCGGACTAGAGAAATGTGGTCGGCTGGTCACAAAGAGGGGGAAGGTCATCCACACAGAAGGGGTCTCACTCCCAGAAGGAACAATAGCAGACATAGAGGACAGTTACAAGTACCTAGGTATACCACAAGCAAATGGCAACCTCGATGAGGTCACAAGGAAAGGAGCCACAGCTAAATACCTCCAACGAATAAGGCAAGTCCTGAGAAGCCAGCTCAATGGCAAGAACAAAATCCGTGCGATAAACAGCTATGCCTTGCCAGTAATCAGATACCCTGCTGGAATAATTAGCTGGCCAAAGGAGGAGATAAAAGCCACAGATATTAAGACCAGAAAGCTACTAACAATGCATGGAGGGTTCCATCCCAAATCCAGCACCCTGAGACTGTACACGAGCCGCAAGGAAGGAGGCAGAGGACTAGTGAGTGTGAGAACCACTGTCCAGGACGAAACAACTAAGATCCATAAATACATCAGGGACAAAGCCTCAACAGACAATGTGCTCAGTGAATGTCTCAGACAACAGGGAACGGAGGTTGAGGTGCCAGAGATACCATCATGGGAGGACAAACCCCTACATGGGAGGTACCACCAGCAAATAACCCAAGTGGCTGATATCAGTAAATCCTACCAATGGCTGGAAAAAGCTGGACTCAAGGACAGCACAGAGGCCCTCATCCTGGCGCCCAGGAACAGGCCCTAAACACCAGAGCAATAGAGGCCCAGATCTACCACACCAGACAAGACCCAAGGTGTAGGTTGTGCAAGGAGGCCCCTGAGACAGTCCAGCACATCACAGCAGGGTGCAAGATACTGGCAGGGAAAGCGTACATGGAGCGACATAACCAAGTGGCAGGCATAGTGTACAGAAACATCTGTGCAGAATATGGACTGGAAACCCCAAGATCAAAGTGGGAAACACCCCCAAAGGTGGTGGAGAACGCCAGAGCTAAGATCCTGTGGGACTTCCAGATCCAGACAGACAAAATGGTAATGGCAAACCAACCAGACATTGTCGTAGTGGATAAACATCAGAGGAAAGCCGTTGTGGTAGATGTAGCAATACCAAGTGATTGCAACATCAGGAAAAAGGAGCACGAGAAACTAGAGAAATACCAGGGCCTCAGGGAGGAACTGGAGAGGGCCTGGAAGGTGAAGACCACAGTGGTGCCTGTGGTCATCGGGGCCCTCGGGGCAGTAACCCCCAAACTGGAGCAGTGGCTACAACAGATCCCAGGAACAACATCAGACATCTCAGTCCAGAAATGTGCAGTCCTTGGCACAGCCAAGATACTGCGCAGAACCCTCAAGCTCCCAGGCCTCTGGTAGAGGACCCGAGCTCAGAGGATAAGAACCACCCGCGGTGGGTGAGAAGGGAATTATTATATATATATATAGTCCAAACTGCATTATTTTGATGAGAAAATCCAACCTGACCGAATCACTGTAACGTCTTTCTGTTGCGTCTCTGTAGATGGAGTGATGCAGGTTGCACTTACTTTTTGGCTTTTTTGTTTGTTTGTTTTATACATAATGTGTATTGAAGGATTTTTTGGGGGATCATATAATGTTAGTATGAAGATTATGATGATGTTAGATATTAGTGGAGGGAAAAACTATTTGTGCCTTTTTTTTTAAAGTGTTTTACCCAATTTTTATTTTCATTTTAAATTCAGAGAGCTCTTAAACGGTATAAATACTTATTTACATTTTGTGTACCATTTGTAATTTTCTGCTTTGTTTCATTAGACGTAAATAATAAATTAAGGCTTTTATAAAAGTAGCTGTTGTCACTGCAATCATTTTATGTGTCTGAAAACAAACTGGCTTCATAGTTTTTATAAATTCAGCTGACAGGAGTTGAAAAATCCTCTCGCAGTGTGTGTGTGTGTGTGTGTGTGTGTGGGGTGTGTGTGTGTGTGTGTGTGGTGTGTGTGTGTGTGTGTGGGGGGGGGGGGGGGGGGGGGGGTGTGTGTGTGTGTGTGTGTGTGTGTGTGTGTGTGTGTATTTTTATCATGCTGTGAACAAGGACAGAAATAGACACTACTTCTGAAATTCAGAGTAAAGAAAAACATCCAGGACAGACTGAGCGTCTGCAGGGATGGAGCCTCCCGATTGGTCAGAACACCTGCAGAAGAAAAGGTGAGAACTGTCTTTGAGTTCTGTGTTACAAACAGTGAAACATGCTGTTGGACTCCATGCTTCTCATCCAAGCAACCGGAAAAGAGCCTGAGCAGTTCGTGTTTGTGACCACCAGAGGGCAGCGCAGAACAAGAAGCTCGACTCCAGGCAGAGCAGAAGAGGAAGGAGCGCGAAGATTATTCTGCAGGTACAATACTAAAAATTAGTGTTCAAATCAGGTTTCTGTCTGACAAAAGCAGCACTGCAGTCGCTTTTAGGTTTTTTTTAATTTAAAAAAATTTTTTTTAAATTAAAATCTTTGAGCTTTTTTATTTGAGCTTTTTATGTAGTTTTACTTGAATTTCATTGGTTTACTTGAATGCATTAAACTTAAAATTCAGATTTTTTGTAATTCTTGAACATTTTAAAATATTGAACCCAAGCAGACCAATTAAAGGGCTGCAGGCTAAAATACTGTACGGTTTTTAAAAGCTTGTGGATTTCTTGATCAAGTTGTGCAGTTTTGTTGGCCGTACTTTTGATTCATTAGCTTCCTTTCTTTTCCCACTGTGAGATCTCACAAGGTGGTCTGCAAAACACACAGAGTGGTTTATTATTAGCTGTGGACACAGGCCACAATGAATTGGCTCTGCCATTATCCTAAAAGAAATAATTATTATGAGGAATCAATATTCTCTGTGCGTACATTATGAGATGAGGTGAAGGACTGAAAAGAAAAGTTTCCTGCTGCAAAGCTCTAATAGGACTTCCATTTTAAAAATGGCCTCATTTCCAGCTCTTATTATCCTCCATATTCCACATCCAACCAGGGTGGAGCCTCGAGTGCTTATTAAAAAAGCTTCATTCTGAAACCACAAAGGGAGCCCTTAAGGAGACCAGGGACAAACACTACACTCTGTTCTAATCCTATCTGGCCTGAATCTGCTTGTAAGACACTAGAAGAAACAATATGCCAGACACGAGTCCTCCAAGTGTTTTTTTTCACCAGATGCCCCCCATCTCTCCATCCTCCCCCTTGTTCACCAGGGAGGAGGGGAGAAAGGGATGATACCATTACTCACAATCCATTACCCCTCCCCAGAGACGCTCTGCATACTGAGTGGTGGAGGCGAGATTTTTATTTTATGCATTTTTTGGAAGGTGTTTGTTTGCTGAGGGGGTGACGGTAAGGCAATATGAAACATGATTATTTCTTTTCAATAACCGTCTGCTGAGCATCCCATGGAGACGTCGCAGGTTGCTGATTAGTTCGTCAAAATAAGCGAAGGCTCCTGAATAGCTTGTTAAGATGCCGAACTTTAAGTACAGACAAGAGCACAGATCATTATTCACTGTGAAGAGTATCTTAATGATGGATTGACCGATGCACAGGGACTCTGATGCTTTTTTTTTCAAACTTTATTTTTAAGGCCAGACAAGATACAAAGTGCTGGAGGAACAATGAAGATACAGCCTGAGTCAGAAGTTTACGTACACGCAACATGAGGATCAACGTAATTATGTGTAAACGAAATAATTTAATTTTTAAACAGTGGAAAGATAGTAGAACATGCAACCATCCTGATTTAAATGGAGGTCATTTTATTGGGCTTGGATTGGTTTTCCAAGCATTTTCAGCAGGGTTGAGGTTGAGGATTTGGGAAGCCGTTAACATGAGTTTGGACGTGTGTGTGTGTGTGTGTGTGTGTGGTGTGTGTGTGTGTGTGTGTGTGTGTGTGGGTGTGTGTGTGGGTGTGTGTGTGTGTGTGTGTGTGTGTGTGTGTGTGTGTGTGTGTGTGTGTGTGTGATCTGCGTCCGCATTTCAACACTGCAAAAACACAAAATCTTACCAAGTCATTGTCCACTTTTTGTTTTTGCTAAGTATCTTAATACACTTGAAATAAGACAAAGCTAATTCCCAAGTAACTTTTAGGCAAGAAATATGAGCTTGTTTTAAGCCAATGATTTCTTATTATTGAGAATATTTCACTGGAAAATTATTTCACTTACAAGACATGTTTTCTGTGCGGTAAGTAAAAAAAATTGGACAATGAAATTAGTACTTTTTAAATGAATATTAAGAAATTATTGATTCTAAATAAGCTGGAAAGTCACTTGTAAGTTGTTTTCTTACTTCAGATGCACTTAAGACATTTGCTCTAAAAACCAAACAAAAATATTTGGTGATATTTTGTGTTTTTGAAAAAAATTAGGGTGAATTTCTGAGCTTGATTACACTTGAAAAAGCACAAATTCAAACATGTGCAACTAAATGTTTTATCTGAGCCAGGGACTGATGGAAAAAATAAAAAGCTGGTTGGTTATAATAAATCAAGATTAATAATGCATGCCCCCAAAATGTGTATGTAAACTTCTGATCTCTTCTGTACATAAATGCGACACTAATACAGAGTATATACGTGTAGTATATACATGTAGTATTTACATGAAGCGCTGCAGTGGTTTGTTCACCTGATCTTGTTTTTTTTCTCCAGTTTCACTTTCAGCGCCATCTGTCCCTCCTGGAGTCGCTCTTTAACCCATCTGTTGCCTCTCAAACCATCTTCCCCCCACCATCTCGCCCTCTTACCGGATTTCACTGCAGAGCTTTGATTTTTTTTTTTTTTTTTACTTTCTCAGTCGCATGTTAAAATGTTGCTAATTTTGAAGAAAAGGCCAGTGTGGAGTGTGTGTCGCAGGTCAAACCGCTGCTGATTGGAAATGCATTTCTGTCCACATTAAATGTAAACATGGGGATTAATCTCTCCACTTCATACCCAACTATTTTTTTTTGAAAAATAAGTATATGATACAGACAATTTGACACATGAAAAACATTCTTTCATTGGGTTTTTCTTATTTACATTTACATGAACCCCTCACTCAGATAAGTTACACAAATACCTTCCTGCTGCATCCAAATCCAGAAAACATTTCTTTTTTTTTTTAAGCTGCAAAATCTTCCGAAATCCTCATTTTCAAGTTACACTTTTCATGCACATCCCATCCCACTGATCCCACAGCAGATAAACTTTTTAACACTTTGGTAAACATTTGACATTTTTCCAGAGCAGCTCAGGGGAGAAAGCAGGACTCTGAGTCGAGTAGAAATGGGGCAAAAAGCTCATCTCCAAAATAGAAATAAAGCCTTAAATGAAGCAAAATCAGCCGATTACAGTGACCAACGTGAATCCCAACGCTTTGAGTCTTTGATTTCTGCTCCCCGGCTGCGTCTCGGCCCGCTTCAGCCCAGGATGTCCAGGTAAACGGGTGGGTTCTTGACCAGCTCCTGCAGGCGGCTGTGGATGTCCTTGATGACCATCCTCTGCTGGGGCTCCCGCTGCCAGCAGCCGTGCATCAGCAGGTAGACCTCCTTGGGGCAGGTGCGGGGCCGCTCCAGCTCCCGCCCCTGCGTGATGCATTCAATGGCCTGTTGGGACGGAAAAAACATTGACTGATTCAATGAAGAATGAAAAGGACAGCATGAAAAGCGTTTTTTGATTTTTGCTTTAAATGAGTAATTGTTTTTCACAAACTTGGGACAGACTCATAAAACTAACAGCAAAAATTTAAACATTTTCATAGAAAGTTTAGTGGAAGGAAGAAGTGTGTTAGGGAAAGGCGTAACTGCAACTTTGAGAAGATTTTCAAGAAATCCTTTTTACTTTATGAAATGAGTGAAGTATTTTTCTCTGTATTCTGACTATAAAGCTTTTGTTCAGTAACAAAAAATATCACTTTTTTTAAATAAACAATTTTAATTTCTATACTTAGGTTTTAAAATACAGACAAATGTAACATTTTGACAGAAAAACTGATGAATATGTTTTCTTCTAAGTAGAAAAAATGCCCATTGTTTTTAAATATATATTGTTGGTCCTGTTAACGTCGTTCTGTCCAGGAATTTCAATGCAATTATTCAATGAAAAACTGAAAACTGCTAAAGTCTGAATTTGTTATATTTATATTTTAAAACATTCTTTAGCAGGTGAGGTTGATTCTGTTTCAAAGAAGGCCATCCATTTTCTCAGCGTTTTTAAGAGAAACAGGCCCACAGCATCACAGAGCCTCCACCATGCTAAGGAGTGGGCATGTGGGCAGTTTTCATGTTAACCTCCCCTGGACTGTTCGTTGGTGAAAAGCTGGATTTTAAAGCACAAAAGTTCCAACAGATTTCACTGAACTTCACATGTTTACATTTGTGATGGTAGAACTTTAAAAAAATATTTTCCTGCCTCAAAGAAACTGATGACGTGTCTGGGGGTTGCTTTGCTGGTAATAAACCATCATCCTGTGTAAAACAGGCCTTTGTGTCACATTATATTTACACCTCAGGGAAACAAAAAGTCGTGGGTTAACAGTTCCTACATATTGAGCAGTTTAAGAAAATTAATAAATTAGAAACATGGAATCTTATAGGAATTATTAGAGGTAAAAACTAGCAGCAGCACCAGAGTATAAATGTGCTCAAAGTAAAGCCTAGATCATTCCAGTGATATATTTTTATTATTCTAGATGTTTTTTAAGGTCATAAAGGCTTTAAAATCTGGAGTGTTTTCTGTATTTACAGTGTTTTAACCAGGCTGGCTGATCCCTCATGTTTCCTTGTAGCCCCAGCAGGAATAAATCAGCAGTGCTCTTATGTATGGATCCAGTGAATGTATTGATTTACCCGCTTTTGTGGCAAGAAATTGAGACCACAAAGCTCGGTGTCAAAAAGGTGTCTAAATAAGCTCAGTGTTCGGGAGCCGAGCCCCACAGGCAGCTGCGTATTCAGGCCAGAACCTCAGCTTTGTGGTAAAAGCTCTTTATAAGAGCTAAAACAAACAATTTCCAATGTTCACTTTTAAAAGAACAAGTCAAACACAATAATCTTCATCACTGCTAATGTCACAGCTCGACTCTGCCGACACCAAATGATCAAATCTAATTATGTTTTCCAAAGGAAGAATGCAGAGAGAAAAACACCCATGATGACTTTGGTCCATAATCAGATTATTATTTTTGTGACAACTTTTGTGCCTCAATCTACAGAATCAAGGCCTGCATGGGCAACTCTGTAAGAAAGATAACGTTTCCACTACAGAGAAACTTACATCAACTCCAACTTCAACTTCAGCAACATCTTTATTTTCTAAGCACTGAGGAGACACAACTGCATTCAGCTCTGCTGCCAGCTGCAAAGAGCTTAGATCATTTAGTCTCATGACAAATAAAAAAATCCTCTTTCAGTTCTAAAATTTACAAAAGGTGATCAAAACAGCAGCAAAACAAAAACAACACATAATACCATATTAACAAAAACCTCAAATCCAGCAGCTTCGGTTTGCATGTTAAAGTTCCTGCAGGACAGTTAGAAACAGGCAGAAAAAGTAAAACTTATGTATTAGATTTAGGTTTAAGTTTGCAAAGGTCCATCTGCATGAAGCTGAAGACTTCTGAGATCCCTGGACATAAAACACGGCAACATGTCTGGAGAAACCCGAACAGCCTCAGGCCAAAGGAAAGCACGGAGGAGGAGGGCTGGTGATCTGGTGATCCCTAAATCAGACAGAATAAAAGCACCTGGACACCCGGCAGTCCTCAGTTACATTCACACAGCAGGTCTTCTTACATTACAGCGTTTTGCTGAAATCCTTTTTTTTATGTTTACATGGTTACTAATTAAATGCAACTGCAATCAAACTTCTCTGTGAGCGATTTATCTCCCCATCACTGCGTCTGTCGCTCATGGCGGCTGAAAATCCACAAGATCGTTCAAACATCAGACGCTTTGAAATCTGTCACTTACATTTGAGCTTTTTTTCTTATTGTGTGCTTTTGACAACAACTGAAGGCACTTTTAGCTTTGTTGTCCATGTGACAAAGAAAACATTTCTATTGTGTTCTATTCTGTTCAAGTATCGCATATGGAAGAGGCACAAATCAGGTGAAAAGACTGGAATTGTGCTGTGAGAAAGTCAGACATGGGCAAAAAGAATCGTATTTGGGTCGAATTTCCCGGAGCATGAACTGCTCTATAGAACAGAGAAACATGGAGTCCAATATGCCACATCTGTTCACACAGAAACAAATCCACAACAGATGAAAAAGAAAAGAAACAAGATGTTGCAATGGCCCAGTCAAAGTCCAGCCTCAAAGTGATTGGAATGATTGGACAGAGCTGTGCAGAAACTGAAGACTCAATAAACTGAAGCAATGTTGTTAGGAGAAGTGAGCCAAAACTAGAGAGACAAATATTTTGATTTATTCCTCCAGCTTAGTTCTGGTCTCATCTATAAAAACTCACATCCTGTTTGAAGTCACTCACTTCCTGCCATCTGGAAACTTAGAAAAGTAGAAGAACCTCAACAACCAGAAAACTATTCATTTCTTTAGACTGCCTGACTCCAAACTCAGAGCAGAAAACACAAACAGTCTCAGCCAGTTCAGGATTGATCTTTCCTTACATATCCATTATGAACTGTTCATGTTTTCTTATATGTAATGTTTTGAACAATGCAAGTTTTGGAACAGCACACAGCATCCTCTTGCTGCTTTCAGCAATGTCCTATTTATCTGCTTTTCATTGTGCTGCGTCGCTTTGTGCTGCGTCGCTTCATTCCACTCCACTGCTGCAGAACCAACAGAAATATATCTTTATGTGTAGCAGGTAGCCTGTAGTTTTCTGGATCCAGCTCAGTACAATAGAGGGGAAAAACAGAATCGTCTATTTACGGAGCAGACAATCACATTTAAAAGCTGTGAAGTTTTCGAGCTGATTTGTTCTGTAGGACCTGTGATGATGTTTGCTGAGAGGTTTATTCAGACAGAATAAAAGACTCGGCTTTTTCAAAACCGTCAAGGTTTTTGTTTGTCTTAGTGAGGAATGGTACAAAACATCAACAACACACACAAGCCAGTAACCAGCAAACATCCCATAAACAGCTGAGAAAACCGACCTTTTTCTGAGCTCATTAAAGGCATCATTGGTTCTAATTAGCCAATCAAAATCAACAAACGGATCTCCAATGAAATAGATTTTCTGACAGTCATGTGGCATGAGCCAAGGTTCACATCAGTCAACGTGTGCACCTTTCTCACAAAAAATAAAATACAGGTTGTTTGCAAAATGAGGCTGAAAAATCGCAGTTTCAGCTAAAAATGTCTGCACTGCTCTAATGTTTCCTGCCTCCCTAAATCTAGCAGGTTTTGATTATTAAGTAATGAAAAACATTGTTTAATTCTGAGACTGTTGAACATCAGTGTCTGCTAATGTTTGCCTCTTTAGCATGTAGCGAGTGTCCAGCACCATGGACAGCAGCACCTCTGGTTTAGATTAAGACTTCTCAATATCTGGAGTAAATTGTTTTTCCACAGAGAATTAGCAAATTACTAATGCTACCTTAAACATCAGCTTTGTTTCCTTTTGGGTTTTTTCTCTCCTAAAGTGTCTTTTCTGGTGGAAATCATCGTCTGATCTTCTGTATGGAAGAGAAAACACTCTCGGCTTGGTGCTTTGTTCGTCTCTCTCTTCCCTGGTTGGAGACATCGATAGAGTAGTTGAGGCCATTAACTCAATGAAGTTAGCTTTTCCATATCTAAATTTGAATCTCTCCGCACTGAGCTGATAGCAATAATAATTATGCCATTCTTTCTGATGGGAAGGAACTATTCTCAGGCGAAAGGTTCCTGGCTCAACCCATTAATGGAGCTTCAGTAACTCTGTACATTATTTTTCTCAGAAAGTTTAAGAAACTTTAATCAAACATTGCAATCAACAAGAAATTTTTCAATTCAAAAACCCTTTTTGCTGCTAAATTATTGAATAAATAGACATATGACGTCAATAACAAATATATTAGTTACTGTAACCATCAGCTTGATGCAAAGTGCTATTAAACCCACTCAAAGTTCACATGTTGCTGCTGCTACATGTTTAGAATTGAGATGCTATTGTAGGCTTGAATAGCTTTGCTAATAGGCACTAAACTTTCTGAATCCAGACTTCCTGCCTCACCAGTTTTAATCTTTAGAAGCAACATTACTCTGTACAGATCTGTGTCCATTAGCAGCGACGTCTGGGACAATCGAAGCAGCCAGTAACTTTTGCAGAGTCTGGTACAGTTCACGGCTTCGCTCTGCTCAGTGAATGAAGCACAGTGGAGGATCTCCACCTGACTCTTCTTACTGCTGTTAACCTTTGCCTAATTAAGTGAGCAGAAGACGCCCGTCACCAGAGCTACTTCACACCAAAACGAGCCGTCAGTCAGTGGGGCTCATGGCTGAACACTGAGACTCCTGAGGAGCTGCTGAAATGCCTGCTGCCGCCACGTCAGGTTGGGGTGATTTATCTCCGTCGCTCAGTATTTAGGCAACATGATAATTTCACCTGTCCCTCACCAGGCGAGACAGATTAGGATAATGAGGTTACACCTTATTGGCATAGGGCAAAAATGAAGCCAATGAGATTAGAATCGAGTGCAGAAGAAAAGTGATCCACCCGACTGTGGAAAGAAGAGCGGCTCCTGGCCTGTAATAGCACCGCTGCGGTCACAGTGGAGACCCACTTCTTGGTGCTTAAGCTAAAAAGGCCAGACTGGACCGCCCTTAATTACTATGAACTTATTGATTAGCTCAAGAGTGCAGAATATGTAAGGCTGCAAAGGGCTGACAGGTAAAATGATGAGAAAAACAGTCCAGACTCGGGTATCTGTGCTAATATGAGTTAAAAAGTTCATTTAAAGAATAATAATTTGATTAATTCAAATCAAAACATGTACAGTAGATGCTGGTCACCATCAGAGCTGAAATGAAAGTTAAAGTTACATGGAATTATTACAGGCATTAAGAACTATGGGACGCTTCTTCCAGTTCAAACTGTTTTTTCTTTCCACTATCACCATGTTCTTGTTAAGGAGGAGGGATTGCTGCAAAGTGAATAAATACCTTTTTGGCAATAAATTGGACCCCTGCCTATTTTGTGGATTTTTTTTGTGCAACTTAACTCCAAATTATTCACAGAAAAGTCACCTGTTTCAAGAATTTTTTGTCTTACATACATATTGTAGTATGTATATATATTTATGTTTCTATCAGCGACTACCAGACATTTTACCAGATTTGGTGTTTTACCTCTGGAAGCATAAAAACCACTATCAGCAGTTTGGAACTGCAAACAGTTTAAGGGGGAAAAAGCCTAAAACAATACGTGGTTACTGGTTTTACTGGGGATTTTTCCAGTTCTTTTAGGGATAAACTAAGACACTGCTTGTGTCATTTGAGCAACAATTTTCTGTTTTCATCAAAACCAGAACAACACAATTTAACTTCAGTTTTAGAGTAAGAACTGAAAATAATTTATATGAAATATATTCCACCGAACTGAACATGAAAAGTAAAATGTTCCAATAAAAGTAATTTTAATCACCTCACTGTTGGACAGCTGGTACCAGGGTTGTTTGCCGTAGGTGAAGATTTCCCAAAGAACGACTCCAAAGCTCCAGATGTCGCTCTCCGTTGTGAACTTCCTGTACATGATGCTCTCCGGCGGCATCCAGCGGATCGGAAGCATCGTACGTCCACCGACCTGAGGATGAGGGCGTCCATCCAACCAAACACTTAACCACACAGAAGAAACGTCAAAGGAAACGTCTGTGGAGCTCTGGACACGTACCCGGTAGTAGTCTGTGCTGTAGATGTCTCTGGACATACCGAAGTCTCCGATTTTCACCACCAGGCCTTCTCCCACCAGACAGTTGCGTGTGGCCAGGTCGCGGTGGACGAAGTGCAGCGACGCCAGGTAAACCATGCCTGAGGCGATCTGGGCGGCGATCTGCAGCATTTGGGGCAGAGTCAGCTGCCCCAGCGGGGGCAACTTGGACTCCTCCAGGATACGAGCGTCCGGCCCGTGAGCTCTGTGGGGGAAACAGAGGACAGGTGCCGGCTATTGTTATGCGTATGTCAGTTGTTTAAGTCGGCAGTATTATACGATTTAAACAAGCATATCTGAGTAACTATGTTAACTTAAGTTGCTTTATAAATGCAATTAATATTAAATATGATTTTGTAATTTAGTGCCTTGAAATTGGGTCTGAAACGCTTTCACCGCATCACTCCTGTTAATCCTTTAACAATGTTTTTTTTTTAATCAGAGATTTACTGATTAGTAGCTCTATAATGCCACCAGCTGCTTGCTAACTGCTGTCGGCTAGTCTGAAGGAGCTGAATGGGGGAGTCGCTGCTTCATTTCATTTGAAAAAGGTGATGGGGAACAACTTCACTCAGCTTCATGGATGAGTAATAAGTGAACCGTTTTATTTAAAAGCTTTACAATAATTTAGAAAATGTGAAACATTTTAGATTATTCACACAAAGAATGGAGTTTTAAACTCTTTATTGCCATTAATTATGGTGATTTTCTGCTTACAGATCAAGAAAACACGACATTCAAGAAAATCATAAGAAATATCGGAAACAAGGTTGTTCCTTTCAAAATCTGACAAACGAACCTCAGCTGTTCTTCAATGCACGATGGAAACCTGTATATTAAAACACAATAGCTACTGTTATATGTTTGTATTTCAAGAGCGGAACATGAGAGCCGTAATAAATGCAGACAAGGTCATGTGGGCCCACATGGCTGAAGAACCTGCAGGTCCTTGTAGTGATTCATCTACTATTGGCTGTTTATGATTATGAAAACACTCAGATTGGCCTCTCAGCGTATTTGTAATTACGGCACCAACCTTGGGTCACCTGAGGGACAATGACCTCAGCGAGCAATCTGCAGATTGAACACTTTCAGTCACATCCAGTCCGAGCCCCAGGAGTGTGACAGACGTGGCCAGCACCACCGCGCCACAATAAAGCCATTTAAAGCCAACGCTTAATAGAAAACACGAGGCTTGTAATACGCCCACAATTGATTTGCAATAATGTAATTCAGAGATGCAGAGCACATTAACGCGCTGTTGTTTCTGTGGATCATGAACACCCACTCTGACATCCAACTGGCTAAATGAGCAAATCACAGCTGATGTGTCTCCATGTGTCATCAATCCATCCTAATCTCTCTCCTCTCCATATTACAAAGGAAGTTGTCTATACAATCACTATTAGTTTAAAAGGCAGGTGGCAGGGTGGGAAAGCAGCTGCAACGTGGGGCTCTCAAAGAACTCACCCACTCTGTTTTCTGGAAATGTGATTTCGAACCGTCCCTGAATATATATCTCAGAAAAAGCCTGTGTGAATGCGCACACGTGTGTGTGTGTGGTTTTGGGGTTTTTTTGGCGTGTGTTTTCATTTCCAGTTTGTCTCCTGTGCAGGACACCCGCCGATCTGTTTCAACTCAGATACTTCCTCAGATTGTTTCCAAGATGCAGTCTGAGCTCTGATTGGTTCACTTCCCTGCTTTCTGAATTTTTAAATAAAAAAATTCAAAAAGTTTTATTATCAATTACAGCAGACTTTTCTGCTTTAGCTCAAATATTTTTCTTTTTTTTTTATCAGTGTTTCTTTATACAGAAAAATCTTCTGAAGATTAAAGTTCATCATTTTTATTGATACCATTTCGCTAATAATGAAACTGCCCTCGGCCTTGACTTGTTCTGAATCACATCCTGGAGCTCCAGGTTTATTTAGCTCACACATTATGCAACCTAACATGAACCGAGCAGAGAAAATGATATTCCATCACTCTATCCTTGAAGCATAAAGAATCTGCAAAAGATAAAGATGAGCGTTCTGGTTCTGGAGTTTTTCGTCAAGAAAAACAGCAGTCTGCAGAACACTAGACACACTTAGACTTTCTATTTCGTTTCATGGCTCTACAGAGACAGTTTCTTCCCCCATAAACACAATAAAAACCTAACAGCCTGTGAAGTCATCAATTCTTTTGGGAAACTGAAAAAAACGTTTGCACAATAATCCTTCTCTATTTCTTTCATTTATACAAAAATAATTGCTACAAATACATACACATAATGTCCCTAAAGCCTCATTTTTATTTTGATTAAAGTTTTATATTTACAATTTATGGATTTACACTTGATGATTAGTAAATTTCAAAACTATTCTGGGTCACCTGAAAAAAACTTCAGCCAGTATTTGGCATATCTGCATTGCTAAAACACAAAATTGACACAAATTCAGATTCAGACACAAATTAGCCTGATTGTATTTGGTATATTTGTTAGATTTTCAGTTTAAATATGAGATCAATGCACCAGGATCCTCAGGATATTCAGATTCAACTAAAAAAAAAAGAAAAAGATGAAAAAATTTCCAGTTTTTCTTCCATCCAATCCGGATGTCACGAGAAAGTAGACGCTGCTCTTCAAGGACTTAAAAATAAGACAGAGGTTGTTTCTACTATTTAAGGAAAATCTGAATATTACAACAAAATATGGAAAAACCTTCACCACATATTTCTCAACATTTCTGAGTGTTTTTTCTTTTTTTTTTGGGAACTTTTAGAGCAGCTATTTATGTTGCGAATAAGACAAAATGCAGAGAATTTCATTTCAAAGACGCGATCAGAGGGAACCTGAGTGGATCCGCGCCAGCATGTGGCCTGCCATTACCTGCAGGAGAGTCTCAACGCATGAATCACATACATTAGAGCCGTGAAGGCTTGATATGTTGATGGAGCCGGTGTGTGATATAGTGATAAGTTGACAGGAAAAAATAAGAGCTGGAAACCAGGGAGCTTCTACTTTTGAGACGGCAACAAGAGCACAGAAAATACAATTTATATGAAACTCCTTTTGCAATTGTGCCTCAGTGAACCTTCTGCGGTTATTAACAAGAAATGAACAGCCTTTGGAAAGTTGCAAAAATTAGACCTTTATTCAGACAAACCTACTTTTAATTTAGAAGTTATTTACAGACAAAGCAAATCAGACGTTTGACCATTTGCAGAGAAGAAAAGAATCAGTTTGAAAAGCTCAGCAGTTAGAAAACAGAAACAGCCTTCAGTTAATTTTGCATGCAGAAAATAATTCCACTGATTTAGAGTGAAATTAGAATCCACAGTCTGCAGATCACAAAGGAAGAACTTCAAAGGCCTGTATTTTATTGAGAAGTGTGGAAACACCTGCATGTTAAAGCTAATGCATAAGATGTAATATTTAAAACAGCAGAAAAAAGTCAAAACTAATGAATTCTGTTTCTTTTCTGCTTCAACGCTTCAGAATGTTAGGTCCAAATGATCCACCATGAGTCTATTAGTTATGTTTTATAGGAAAAAGTCTATTGATCAGACAGAAAACATTCAACCTCACAGCTACAGAAGATTCTTTTGAGCTTTTTTCCCCCTAAAGATTACAGTTGGGGGACTAATTTCTTCTTCATTCATTTAGCCATATTATTATTCCACCAATCCGCTCAGCCTTGCTGTACATGATGAAAGGCATGATGGCTGTGTTCCACTTAGCTGCTTCAGATTCAGCCTTCTGTATTGTGAGAGCAGACTTACTGCTGGGAAACGTTCCTACTGTGCTTTTCCTACTCTGACACATTTGCCATGAAGGCGTTGCTGCTGCCTTTCATGCAATACTTTTAGGGGTCTAACATTAAGCAGCATGAGCACCAACAGTTCGGGCGGCGGAGTCTCGGCGGCCCACTGCAGAGGCGGGATGTGTGGTCTTGCACGTACCGGAGGAAGCGGTTGAGGTCTCCGTGCCTCATGTACTCGAACACCATGGCCAGCGGCTCGCCGTCTGTGCACACGCCGTAGAAACGCACGATGTGTTGATGCTGGAGGACCGTCAGCAGCTCGGCCTCCCGCTGGAAGTCCTGCCGCGTCGACTCGTTGGCATCCTTCAGAGTCTGTGAACAAACAACGGTGGCACCAAAATAAGACGCTTTCTGTTACATCATGTTACTTGACCTTTTGCACTTAGTGGATCATTTTTTGGGGGGTTGTTTTTCAAATATAATTAAATAACACAAGCCTGTGAATGTGTTCAATATCATTTAAAAGGTTAATTAAAGCATTTTTTCTTAAAGCATTCAATACCTGAATGATTTGTCACACATAAATAAATACACTCAGAAGCTCATTGAAAGATAAGTTGACTTTTGTGAATTCAGTTATGAGAAAGATAAATGAATGTTTGGTTTCTATCACATTTAATATGAATAACACCTATTTTTGGATTAAACTGTGTCTAAAATGCTGCAAGCAAACTTGAAAATGATCATTTTTCAGTGAAATTATAATATAAATGTATAAGAGCATGCCGCAAATAAGTGATGGGGTTTTTATACCAAAGGAAGTCTAAAGAAAAAATAAAATAAATTGGCAACAAAATGTCAAGTGTTTGTTGTAGCGCTTTAATTTCTTATGACTTTTATAAATATGAGCGGTGTTGTTTTTATTTGAAAGCTCAGTACAGCTCTGGAGAATATTCACTGTTTTGATTTGTTTTACTTTGGGATTCCTCAGGGCTTTATTACTGGAACACTTTTACTTTATTACTTTATCATCTGATCATGAGCAAAACTGTTTGGGAATTAATAAAAGAAACTAGCAAAGTTTCAATTTCACCACTGCTTGTCTTATTTTGATATGATTTGTTGAAAATACATTTCAACTTATTTCAATTTAATTACCTTTTGTTCTTTGTACTGTTTTTTACCATAACTTGTCCTGTTTCTGAGTCAAGAAATCTTTTAATAAAATAATTCAAAAGTAGTTAAAAGATTTGTCTTATTAAGAAGAAATGTAGTCTGAACGTTGAGGGGATGATCCCAGAATGACGCCTTGGCGAAGATGAGTGAAGCTGTATTGTAAAAGCTGACGTGTGATTAATGCACTGATAAATGTGAGCAGATGCATATTCCATCATCTCCCTGTATAAATTTTTCGCTCTGTTGTTTTCATTAACCTGGTGTAACAGGAGCTGGATATAAAACCACCTTTTAACAACGACGGCTCACTCTAAAACCACCAAGTATTATTCCAACATGGAGGAGGAAACAGCTTGAAAAGAAGAAGTTAAAGTCGACTTTTATTGGGTATTATTTTATTTATTTTTCAGTGCCTAGAGAAGATAAGTTCTGTACTTATTGTCATATGTAAAATGATATAAATGTAGCAAAATAAGATTAATTTATGAATTTATTATTACTAAGTTATCCGGTCTTATGATGACTCTATAAAAAAATAAAAGGTTTCTCAAAATTCATGTGATAACCGAATGGAAACATCAGACTATAAATATCTGAATTAATGTCCCGACTGTAACTTGAAGATGTTCAGGTGAGGAGCTTTTACCATGTGACTATTTCACAGGAGCTAACAGAAACGAGCCTTTATGTAACATCACATTTATACTCCAGGAAAAATGGAAGAGATGGATTACTGTTAAGAAATTTCAGGACATTTTGATCGATTTATTCAAAACTAAAAAAAGCTTCCATGCATTTTCTTTCAGGTCTGGAAGAAAACAGCTGCACTTCAATAATCCTCTGGACCAGGGTTGGCATTTAGAGAAGAATCAGGACTTCTGAACACTAACTGTAGCTTTGCTGCAGCAGGAATAGAAACTTTCTGTTTTCTTTACCACAAACAGCCTCTTTACCGGCGACTCCTCTGCTCCGACCACATACTAACGGCTGACATTTTCACTGCAGATGTTTAGAGCACATTAGTTGTTAAATTGCCTCTGAAGCGGCGTAGGGGACGATGTAAGATTTCCTCACCTTAATGGCAACCAGCATCTTGTCGCTGTCGGGGCTGAGGTTCGCACACTCTGCCAGGTAGACTTTGCCGAACGCTCCTTCACCGAGCTCCCACTTCAACACAATGTCCTGCCGCTTAATGTGCTGCACACCTGCAACAACAAGAAAGAGACACAGCTGTGAGGGAGCCGTTGCTGAGATCTGTTGATCCAAGCCAAAGCGAGTCTTCAGGAGCTAAAGTCTCGCTAAAGCCTGGAGCTGATCAGTCCAAATAGTTTCAAACCTGCTTATCCTCACGGGGGAAAATACCAATGCATCCCCTAATTGCATCCCTTAAATGATTATGAAATTAATTTTAATACTAGATGAAGATGAGTAAATCTGTTTGCAATTGATGATTTAATTTATTAGGTGATCAAAACTGATCCAAATCAAGTCCTGTGTGAATAACTTGAATGTTTGTGCATTTCTGAGATCTGGAAATTAGTGGTGTTTTTTTTTTATCTACACTTCTTTGCAAAATTGTTTAAAGTCAATAAGAGTGTAGAGTTTTTGCCACATTGGATTTCCTATCTGATCCTGTGGAAACCAAATGCTCCAGTCTTTCACACCCAGTCCAGGTTAAACATGTTAAAAGATGCCACATGCAACTAACTTATCTAATTATTGCAACAATAATTAATAACATAGCAAGCTAAATATCTAGTTAGCAGCTGAGTATTTAGTTAGCAAACCAAATATTTAACCTCAAAATAAATATTCATTTGGAAAGCTAAATGTTTAGTTGCTGAGCTAAAATAACTTGCCAATAACCAGAAGTGGACTACCAAAGTAAAAGTTGAGTCTTGCGAATCTTTGATTAAACTCCTGCTACTGTGACTGACACACTTCATCATTGTTTCTTTTCCTCTCAACAACAATTTCAGCATATCAGTGTAAAATGTAGGATGAGCCACTTAAATAGCAACACAGACATTTAGCAACAGATTCAGAGGAACAGACGTTGATGGAAAGGTTTTATGACCCAGCTTTTATTTTGATAGTACAATTCTGGTTATTGGTATGTGAATTAGCATATTTGCTCTCCAGCTCTTGGGTTAATCATATTTATGTCCACTTCATCATTTCACTCACAGATGGATACTAATCACCATCCTAAACACATTTCAGAGCTGATAACTAACTTGGAAAAAATGATGCTAACAAAGGACATCATGAGTAAAAGGATCAGGGTGTTTTTTCTTTTAAGGTCTAAGAGGGATTTTTTTTTCCAACTTTTTGACTCATTTTTTCTGAAATATAAGCCGATTGCATCAAGAGTGCAAAAACACACCTTGAGAATCCGTCTAAAAACCTTCTAAATGTGTCAGAAACTATTTACTAAAGAATTAAACGGAACTGTAATAAGAGCGGATGTATATGGAGCATAAACTGCACAGGCACTTACACATGTCTTTGTCCTTGATGATGCCACAGAAGTACTGCGGATTTTCCACGAAACTTGATAAACCAGAGTCTTCGTCAGAGGAAGGCGGGCTGGTCCCGAAATTCATGAAGCGGAGCGAGACGGCCAGGTCATCCTCCTTACCGAGAACTGATGAGCCTAATGAAACACAAGAGACAAGCATGGCTGACGGATACATGACACCTAATCAGTCTCCAACCGCTTCTGATTGCAGCAGCCAACAAAAGAAGCCATTCTGGCCCAATTTTTCCCTTCTGAAGGACAAACATGCTCCACTACCAACTTGGCGGCCCAATTGTTGGTACCATGGTGACAGATGATGACAAGCTCTAATAATCACCATCATCAACCATGCAGCAATCAGGCCACATTGAACTGGAGGAAAAATGACCATACAGGAAGCCTGGATGGTTAGCAACACCTGACTATGGCAAAGTATTAAAAGCCAAACAAGTGGGACCCAAATTGTGAAATCCACTCAGCAAAGGCAAACCACAGAACCCCCAGAGTCCAAAACAGAAGAAAATGGAACAACAACGAGGGAGCCCAGAGGAGATGGAGGGAAGGAAAGAGGGAGCACGGTCCACTTAGGCAATCAGGCACACTTAGGAGCTCTGAGTGAGGAGAGAAAAGGGTGGGGTGTCCACACGGAGCTGGCTTTTCCTCCATCCATCCATCCATCAATCTGTCCATCCACCGTTTTTAATGGCTCTCACCACGTGGCGGTGGGCAGCGGAGGTCTACGCTGTAATTAAGGCACTTTGCCCAACAAACAAACAGCAGCTGCCTGTGAGCAACGTTACATCACAGTGCAGGGCCGTATTAGTCCATTACGTCCCAAAAACACAAACATCTCCGATTCCAAACTGTCATTTTGTGGAAACTGAGAAAAAACCTGGGGAAAAATTTGAACTTTAATTTGAAAAATTTGAATTTTAATGGCAACAGAATGAGATATTTTTTATTTCTAACAAAATTTCTGGTCACTGATCAAAAATTAAACATTGAATTTATGAAATATGCATTTTAGTCAATCATAAAAAATATAAAATATATATATTTTAATGGCTGTGCATTTTTAGTGCTTTGGGTTGTTTTTAGAAACAGTAGAGAAACAAATGGAAGTACAAAATGTGAATTCCCCTGTAAGGTGTCAACATGTGGTTTTACTGTCATGCAATGTGAAGAACTCACTTACGGTGAATACCAAACTTGGTTTGCTGACCACACTTGTTAATGATCAAAACTGTGATGAGCAGAAAGATGCAGGTGAACACAGCGAGGCCCACAGCAACAGAGACCTGCCAAACACACGAGTTTAATAAAATAAACTGGCCTGGCCTAAATCTAAAGAGTGAACATGATGGTGACTCATACCACAAACACCCGACTCTCTGAATTCTCCGTAACGTCCACGACCGGTTTGTTTGATGGACCTGAGAGACAAAACACACAGGAAGTTAACACTGAGAAGATACACAGAAGTTATATGGAGTCATTGTTAGTTGAGAACTTACTTGGATACCCATTAGAGACTAGCATGAGGGACGCAAGAGAATATAAAACATATTTAATGCAAAATAAACTTAGATTGGTAGACCAAAAAAAAACCAAATTCAATAAATGGTGTTTTAGTTGGAGGAACAAGATTAAAGCAAATGTATGAAAATGTGTGAAGCTGATTATCGTTTTTGTTCGACTGTAAAACATCTGTTAGTTCAGATCGACCATCAGTCGCATCTTTTCCCAGGAACTCACCTATAATGATTCCCTCAGGATCACCTTTATCGAAAGGATTCTCCATAAACATCCCAAACGCCGTGGCGTTTTCCCCTCCGAGCTCGTTCACCGCCACCAGAGTGTAGTTTCCGTTGTTCATGTGGGTCGGCTTGTTTAAGGTCAGGCAGCCATGTTTCACTGACCCGTCGTTCGAGTCCGGGATGAACTGGATGAAGATGAAGTTGTTTTTTCTGTACGGTTCTCCGTTGAAGAACCAGGAGATGTATGTGTCAGGATTCCCGTCCACGGCGAACGGGAAGCACCAGTGGTGATGTTTCACGGCGTCCTTGAAGAAGATGATTTTGGCTGGAACTGCATGAGGTTCAGATGAGATACGACAGAGAAATACATTTTACAATTACTTTTATCCACTCTTATTTCTTTATATTTTAAGTCATTTTGAAAGAATTTGATCAACACTTTTCCGTTTGTTAAGCAAAGAGACGCTCTCTAAAACCCCTGTAGTTCAACCTCCATTGATATGAATTGGGACGGTGGGAACAGTCCCAGCGGTAAGATAATCTTCTTCATATTCATTGCCAGTCATTAAAAATTGTAAAGTAGCAGTACCGCCATTCTGGATTGGCTGCTTGACAGGTTGAGTGGTATTTTGACTTCCTATATCAGTTCCATAACTTAAATTATCTACTGAATATTTTAAATATGCTTTACAAAAAAAAAATCTTCAAAAATACGCAGCTTTTCTGCAACTAATTTAAAGTTATATTGGATAGAAAGACATTGAACCATGACTTGGGTGGAAAGTGAACTGTGTAGTTAAATTAACAGTGAAGAACAAGACATTAAAATGGATCAAAATTCAGCATGAGTGTCCTTTCAAAATCAAATAGTTTACTGAGCTTGATATCAATCCCGGATGTCAGTTTGTTTATGGTGAATTTAAACAAAATTTGAATTTTATCTTTAGGCAGATTGTTGCAAAAAATGTCACAAATACATAATTCTTTTTAAAATATACTAATTATTACTCAATTTTAAAGTTGAAAAAACCCAATTGAAATGTTGTTGAGTTCCTCAGGTCCTGATTCTGGTTTCCAGATATAACTGGAAACTTGAATTTTCATCTGCTGTAAATTTAGTCACTGATACCAACAGTTGCACGGAGCTGTAAATGTTTCCATCACTTTATCATCCAGAACAGTTGCATGCTGCACGTTCCCTCTGAGTTTCCATGAATCAATGCTCTCCATCTGAACTGCAAACCTTTGACGACCTGCCATGAATAATAAATCCCAGTTGTCGCCGCGCTCCCAACCACAAAAACTACCTGGAAGCTCTATGTCTATGTCTCACGGACATGAAGTTACAGGAAATGGCCCCATTTAGATCGAACGCAACCCTCAAGTGCAGAGACCCTTCACTCCGCCCTGGAGATTGTTCTGCTCTTAACCTGCAACTCTGACCCGGAAAGTGCTGTTAAAAGGGGGATACCGGCCTGTGCCCTTTGCTTCACTGCGCTGCACTGGAAATTACTGCTATTTATCATATTTGACTAATCATTCACTGGCAGTCCCTTTAGCTACAGGGGATAAAATAAAGGCTATTATTATATTTCATTTAGCTGCTGCTTGTCACACATAATTTCAGATTTAGACAATGAGCTAATTTAGATGTGCCACAATTAATTCTGGAAAAGTCACAGTTAGCACGACTGACTCACTTCAATCTCTGCTCAGGTCAACATTTCATCACCGTTTCTTTTCCTTTTGACATCTACAATATTTCAGCTCAAAACATGCAGCAACAGTGACTGCACCAGCAGGACAGGACTCTGTACAGAGGTTTGTAAGACTCAGTTTTATTTTGATACTTCCATTTATCATTTTTGTACATTATCCACACATTTACTTCTGAGCTAAATATTTCATTTGAAGCTAAATATTTAGCTTTACAACACATATTTATATAAATATACAAGTAAATATTCAGTTTGGACCTAAATCTTTAGATTGCTAGCTAAATATTTAGTTTGTCGTTTAAATATGTAGCCTGGGCCGCTTAGTAAACAAATAGTTTATAGCTAAGTATTTGCTTTGCAAATAAAAAAATTAACATACTCAATAAATATTTAACTTTAAACTTGATAGTTGAATGAATAGCATGGTGAAAATATTTGCCCAAATAACCCAAATTATTGCTCTTAACTTCTTAATGTGAACAATTTCAACAGATTCATATTTTTACACCAATCGGTTTCCTACCACAGAATTCACATATTCTGTATAGTTGAGCTCATTTCTTTAGGAATGACATTCCAGAATCAAAACTTTGTCCTTCTTTGTGCATTTTTCCATGTTATGAAACCTGGACCTGCACCATGAACCAGGGAAACGAACCCACAGCTGCTAAACTGACATCTTATGTCCGTTAGTCTCACTTCGCTTTCTTATTATTGCTGCCAAACAGTTCAATCTTTGTCTCTTCTAACCATAAACTTTTTGCCCAGAGGGCATTTAGCACGTCCATGAGGGCAGATCATGCTTGGTGGGCGACCCCTCAGACCGAACATTCAGCCAGAGTTGCATCAAAGTCTTAAAGTGCTACAATAAGCATGTATTTCAGGCAAGACTCGTTTGTGTCATTTGTGGCAGATGTTTGCATATATTTGATCCTGTAAACATAAATTTAAATCTCTCCATATATTATAACTAAATCAAACTTGTTTTTAAAAAATTATGAAAGTTAGATGTTGCATAATCCTTCCAAACTGATAAGATGTAGAATAAATAATTAAAACACTAAAATTATGATATCTGTGTCCGTAGTAGGTTTGTGTTAACTCCATGCTTTGAAGGCGATGTTGCAACTTGGCTGATTCAGAGCAGGGATGCTATGAAAAGAAAGCCACATGTGTAGCATGAATCAATGGCACGAGGAGCCACTCAGCAATAAACTCCCACTGTTCTGGGAGGTAATTAGAAGTAATTAAAGGGCCAGCGGTTAACGAGTGTCTGTCCACCATTGGGGCTGATGTTGATGGATTAGCAGCACTAAAGCATTTACAGACTGCCAATCACCGTGGAAGAAGCGGTTTTCCGGAGTTGGGAGGGAAAAGTCCATTAGCACCAGCTTAAATCAGATCTGAGGGCGTGTAATCCGCCCCATTTTCCTGATGTTCATTATCTGTCCCTTGATGCTCATACAGCTGATTGGCGCCCCCGTAGTTTTGGCTTTATTTTCTAATGAGTGTCATTGAGTTGGAGATGTATGATATTGTTTGGGTAGTATTGCAGTAATGTATTGCTAATGCAACTGACTGTCTTCTGTGGGACTACTGGCTGCTGTCGCTCCTTGGTGTTGCTCACCGTTCAGTGCACTAATGCATCTGAAAGCGGAAAGCAGCAGCAGACCCTCAGAGTTAAGCTCCATCTGTAATTTAAAAGTGCAGAATAGATAAGGTCGTGGAGTTCTTGAAGAGCAAGATGAGGTAAGTTCACCTTCCTTTGTCTTCTTACTGGATCCCTACATTAAACACCAAGCTGTACCTGCAGCCCTTCACTCATATTATTTTAACACTTCTCACCAGTCGCCGGTTTGAGTGGCAGAGGACAGAGAGCTCCATTAGAAGCATGGTGCGTACGTACCCATATTTGTAGAGGGGGCATTTAGAAGAAATCAGCGCAGTGCATTTTTCCTTTCTACAACCGTCCACCCTGCCTGCACAACAAAATGATCCCAGTGTGCTCTCGCCCTCGCCTCCATTAAGGCCGGCGACTTGCATTGAGCTCGTGAGCTTTCAGGAGCGCAGCGCTTTATTTCGCAGGCACTTACACTCAATGTCCAATTGCACCATCCCCTCGTTGGGCCCAGCTTGGTTCTCAGCCTCACACGTCAAGTTGTGCATGTTGTCTTTGAAGGAGACGTTGGTGAGATGAAGCACCAGCGTTAACGTGGAGTTTGTGATTATCTCCTGCAGGAATCAAATGACAGAGTCATAAAGACATGTAGGTCACTTTCAGAGAAATGAAAGTTGTTCAAGAGAAACATTCATATGGAAGTGGTATGTATAAATATGTATATTTAATTACTGTAAAATGTGTTTTGTTATGACAGCAGCAGCAAAAGAAGTTATAACTATATAACTATTTTTCTGAACCTGAATTATAAAAGACAAATGTTGCTTTTTGGGTCACACCGTTTTAATATTAGTAATAATTGATTAATTATTATCTTGAACTTTCAAATTGCACCCTCCGTGATTTAATCCCCAAAATACGATTTCAAGCAATGTTGTTTTTTATAACTATTAAAATTTCTATGATTGAAATTTGAAGTTATTTTCTACACAATAATTTATTTCAAAATGTGGATCTACTGCCTATTCAAAGTCTGTTTTCTTTTGCACATTAAGGTGAATGAATGACTAATTATCTTTATTTAACTTATCATAATAGAAAAAGCTTTAGCAGCTAAAGCATTCCTCGTTCACGCTAAAATTCACAAATACAAGGTCAAGATTTTGTGCAAATGTCTGGAATCAGCTTCACTGAGGGAACATGTTTTCTGCACCTTGTATTAGCTACATCCATTCTGATTTAGAGTCCTGATGAGACTCACAGCACATACGAGTTCTCTGAATGTTACTTCTGCAGAGACGTTGGGGATAGCATAGTTTCTGTGCATCAGGATTCAGAGTGATGCACAGAAGAGCGGTTGCAGCAATGACAGCTGATCCACTGGGTCTCTTTGAGGGCACATGCAAATCTGTGCGGCTTAGTTATCAGAGAGCATAAACCTGGACTGGCCACATTGGCCTCTTGCCAGGGCTACAACCTCATGAGACCCACAATGGGTTGGCAATGCCCCAAGTAGGTGATTTTACTGCTCTTGGCACCAGAGATGATAAACGCAACATGGCTGGTCAATGCTCTGACTTCCCCCGATAAAGAATCTCATCATGCAGCTGCAGTAAAAAAGCTATTATGTTCTTGGTGATAAATTATGACACTCTTTAAACGTAGAGTCCAGCATATGCTGAAGTCCCTTCTTCAGTTGGGCAAAAAATAGCACAAGCCTGGAAGTTGCTCCCAGAATTGGATGTGCTGGTTGCTGGGAGACTGTAGCTAGGTTTTCAGGCTAGGTATACATGCTACCTGGAGCAGCCAAGCTGAAAGTTGGTGGAGGACCAGAAATGCATTCCACAGATTGCTACAACCTCCAAAAAACATTGTTTCTCTCAGAAATTGAATGGAAATGAAAGTTTTCACGTCCAGTTATTCTCTTCAATATTTGACTCCAAAACTGAATTAAACAGAGCCAGCAGTATTTTGCATGAATACAGACAACGTCCTAAAAATCCTTCCTACCTGGACTGTAAAGTTAGATGCAAGTTCTTTCGTTTGCCACGTCACTTTGGGGGTGGGACTTCCTGTCACATGGCATTCAAACACGAGGTTTCCTCCCTCTCTGGTCTTCTGTTGTGGTGGATAAATGGTCACCTCAGGCAAACCTGGGATCAGCACAGAAAGCAGGATGAGCATGATAAGCACTGGCAAATGTTTTGAAATACAAATAGTTATAATATTCTCAAATGTACTGGATTAGGGCTTGAGATTTGAAGTGATGGACGATCAAACGCATCATCAAAGGTTAAATAGCTTCATTGCTACATGGTGCAATCACCACAAAGAGAAATGTGAGGCATGAGAACGAAAACACAACTCACTGCAATTATCGATCACCAAAGAACTGAGGAGAAATTCCTCATCGTTGGACAAGCAAAACAGCATTTGGCTGTCGACATCGCCACGATCTTCTTTCTGCCACTGCTGCAGCCAGAAGAGGTCACATGAGCAGACGAGAGGGTTGTCCCTTAAAATCCTGAAAAATAAAAGCACACAGACAGGTGGTGGCTTCAGATTTGACAAATAACTCTTTATGATTTAAATTATTCAGGACAGCAAGAGCTCAAACAACTAAATGTTTTCCAGTAACTTGAAGTCTTTCATTCTTTGAGCCATGACCCATAACTTATGACCACATGTAATGGTTACACTACAGATTCACCAGCAGGTTGAGAACTTTGATTTTTGTGCAACTGTCTTGCTTAATAAAAACCAAACTGACAAAAATACTTGATCAACACTTTGATTACCAGAGATCAGGCTCCAATTCGACTCACCATTGATATAATGGTCATCAATATTCTGCTCCTTGCTTGAGGTAGAGACTCATGTCTAACTAATAAGGAGCATTATGCTTTTTTATCACTTAATTATTCAACTGTCTGTGATGACCTCGTGACCTGTCCACGGTGAACCCCACCTCTGGCCCAAAGGTCACTGGAAACAGCCTCCCACTCCCCTGTAATGCTGCCCGGATAAGAAGGTACGGACAATGGATGGAAGAACCTTAAAAGAAACAATGTCTCTGGAAATCAACCAGCAATCCCTTAAAAATGACAAAAATATCTCACTGTTTGGAGGGAAATCTTAAAAAAGAGGCATGGATGGTATGGTTGAGTCAATTTTCCATTTACAAGTAATAAATGTTCTTTCTGACACTTTGAATCAGGTTCAGTTTAACTTTTGCAGAATTTGAAGATGACTCACAGGTTGAGCAGAGGCAGAAAATGAAACACTCTCCAGTTGATGTGCTCCAGAAAGTTCGATGCAAGGTTCCTGCAAAACAAAACCAAAAAAAAAACGCAAAGCTTTTACAGTTTATTAAACAAAACCGCTGCAAGTTATAATTCTGCCTGCACGAATCAGTCATCTCAAAGTCTCACAACAGAGAAAAAGATCAACTGAAAGATTCTTAGTTTCATCTTTTTAATGTTTTAACATCTGCTTCCTTGTGGGTTTCACAAGAAATATAAATTTTTCCAAGAAGACAAACTAAAAGGAACGAGTTCTGTCATATTTTTTCAACTCTGGTACTGTGTAGGACTCAAGTCAAGCTGGGAGCTGATTGCTTACCTTCAGAACAATGTGTACCTGCTTTGAATTACACTCAGTGGAAAACGTTAATGCATCCAAATTGGTTCTGATCAATTACCCCGGCAAGTATTTCACACCGACCAGGACCAGTGTTCATGAGCCCACCGCAGCACATCTCTGTTCAGTGCATTAGGTAATTAGTCCTCAGTCACAAACAGTTCTTGGTAGAGTAACGCTGTTCTGCTGCAGAACTGCATCTGGAAAAAAGTCCATCTCCCACTTTTGTCATGACTCAAACATGTCAGTAATAACACAATGAACTGAGTGCAGTTGATTGTTTTGAGTTTAAACATAAAAATTCACATTTCTGAACACAAATAAAATGTACCAACAATGTTTATGTCTAATACAAATTAATAATGCTGACACTACAGTAGTGAATTCATCATTTCTTACTACTTTACTTGTCAATCTGTTTTGTTAAATCAATAAAGATAAAATTGTTTGACATAAAGTAGTTATTTAGCTCAAACTAGGTGATTCCCATGGAGTCACAAACTAAAACGTTGCAGTGAAGCATCAACTGAAGGAAGACAGGATTCTCTTCATCCTTCAAAACGTGTTTCAGTTTTGTAGGATTTATTTAAAACCAAGAAAAAAAGCATCTTCCAATTTCTGTTTTTATGTGATTTCCTACCTTTTAGGCCAAAATGAAAACCTTACCATTTTATTTAAAATATATATTTTTTCATTGAAATTTCATAGCATGTCTATTGTAGTGGACATCAGGACGATTTCAGTCTAAATTATGACGGAACTAAAAAAAATTGAAAAATGTACAGATTAGTGATCAGTGAATCACATTAACCCAAGAAGAGGTCAAATTTGAGAAATACATTTAATAACCAGAAGTTATCAATTTTTGGCTGCAGCCAAAACTGGCTGCAAACTGCAGGGGTGTCCCTGAACTGAACCCTACTGCCCAAAAATGAAGACTTCATTTATTTTTACTTATTTCATTTAACTTCTCAAAGGGTCTTCCAACAACTGGAACCATTATGATGAACCAAAGAGTACCAAGCATCAGAAACCTCAATCCTGGATCAGAATATATTATTATAATTTAAATGTTGAAAATGTTAACTTTTCCATGTTATATATGTAGAATATAAAACAATCATTATAATAAAAAACATGAACTCATCCATTGGTTATGTGCACAAACATTTCAGTTTGACAGTTTAGTCATTATTTTTGAAATCCAAACCAGTAACTGACGTTTAGGGTGAGTTACTGAATCTTCATTTTTAGAGTATAAAATATAATACAGCACTTTATTCTTGGCTTGCACCTTCAAGTGCTTCAATGGCCCAAAGATTGCAGTGTGAGCTTTTGGAAACATCACAATTGACTCTGAAAACTTTAAAGAGGAAAGTTTGAAGGACGCCTGCAGGTGGAAAAAATCCAAAAGAAAGAAACACACAGAAAAATAATCAGAAAACCTGAAATGTATAAAAAGAAAATCCAGCTCCTCGGAATACAATTTTTGCACTGAAGTAATTGTCATGTTTTTGTCTTGCATATAAATAATTTGTTTAAATGTACGTATTTATTGTGCCTCCCTCGTGTTATTACTGACACCATTCCACATATTTTTTGGGGTCAATCCTCTCAGGCCACTTAAATATCATCACAGCAGAGCTCAAATGATCCTCAGACTTTGAGAGGCTGTAAATAAACCTCCCTCAGAAGATGACAGAAAGCCACCGTGGGGAGCGCGCATGGAAACCAATACATAATCACTGTGACAGGGCCAAGGGTTCAATTATTTGTTTTCCTTGCTCCCAAAAGTTCATGTCAGACGGGTTAGCCGTTGGGGCTTATCCATTACCGGCTCGATTCCTCCTCCAATCCACAGGGGGAGAGCGGAGCCGGGAATAGATCTCTTTCAGCCACATAACAGCAGAAATGTTATCAATCTGGGAGGTTTGAGTGTAGATCAGCACAGACGGAGAAAATGGTTTAACCAGCTCAATGTTTTTTAGTTTGCATTCTGACCTTCCTAATCTTAGAAATGCATCCATCTCAGAAACCCCCACACTCCAGCCAAGCCTCGCTGGCCCCTCTCCCACACTGAAGTATTGATTAAGTGATAATGGACCCTTAGTGGAGTGTATTTATTATGCATCAGTTGTCAATAATCCGCCAAAGTGAGCGAGTAAAAGGTGACTGGTGGATGTCTTCTCCAATTTCTTGAGCATCCCAACCCCTCTCCTACACCTCAGCGACCATCATCAGAAAAGCCGCTTGTCTTTCAGAGGAACAGCACTGGACATGTTGCACACGCTCAGTAAAACGATGAGGACAAGATGGTGCCGATAAGCATCAGCTGTTCATGAACACACCGACCTGATGGCTTCATCTGATATGTTTCAGTGAAGATGGGAGGCCAGACGGCCCAGAAGGAAAACAAAAGAAAGCAAGAATAATCCAGGATAAAATAAAGCATTTGCTGCAGGGTTTCCAGATTATCAGACAGAAACTTAACCTGTTCATTTATTTAATGAGGAGTAGTGTCCTGTATATGTATAACCCTTCAGTTTTTTGTGTTTATTAAAATGAAAAATCTGAACTACATAAGAACAAAGTGAATTGAAATAAAACTGATGTATGAAAAACATGTTTTCCCATTTAGCTTCCTTTACTTGGATAATCCTGGATGAAAACACCAAGAAAGAAATGTTTCTGAGAACTTTAAATATCAAGAAACCATGTTTTGGTTTTTAAGAATTTAAGTTCATAATTTTAGAAGAGCAGACAGACTTAAGAAAATTAATATTTAACAGGTGACCAGTAGGGATGAACAAGCAGAGCAGCAAACTAAACAAAATCTCATCATCAGTGAGAAAACTTACACATACTGCAGCTTCGGGTTGTTTTGGAAAGCATTTGCAGAAATGAACCTCAGCTTACATGATGTGACGGTTCTGAGAAGGAAAAAAGAGAAAAATAAATATGAACAAACAATACATGAACTTCGACAATCAGCATTTGTAGCATTTTAATCCAAATTTAAGTGAGTAAATACTGAGTAAACATATAAAACCAGAGTTTTAAGAAGAAGCATATGTGGTTTCTCAGAACTGAAAGAGTTGAATATTACTCAGAATTTGGCCCTCATTGTTAGTTTGGAGGATAAAACATGCACTTACAGATTTTTCAGCTCTCTGTAGTTGGCAAGGTTGACCTCTGTTATGTTCTCCAGACCTGCCTGATTTTCAATGTAGCTAATTAAATGGAAAAAACACAGGAAGATAAAAACATGAAGATAAGATACAATTTGTCATGTCCTTAAGCTTTTGTTGTTGTTTGGCTTAACCCTTTGCAAATGGAGGAAAAAAGAAAACAAGGACAAGACTTAAAAAGTGCAATTATTAAATTTTCTTGAGAAGGACAAAGTACTGTACACACTCAACACAAGAGGCCTTTTAGAGTTCAACGTCTAGTTTGGACAAACAACTGAAAAGCTTCACTTCAGAGTCGGAAGCATAAAAGAACATGCAGAAAAATATCACATCACTATTCTTGGAGGAAGAAAACATATGCATCAAAACTTTAAAGAAGGAAGTTGCTATAAATTATTTTGGCAACACTATTTGACGGGTTGTGAATAAGACGCGGTTATAAATGTGACATTACAGCTGACATGAACATGAGTAAGTCTTCATGAATATTTATGACTGTTGTCATAAAGTGTCACTCGGTAAATCTTGATCTGACATAAATTTGTTATAAAACTATTAGCGTGCCAAGCTGCTTTTTCTGGTCATTCTTCTGCTTTTTATGTTTCCTGCTGAAGAGTTTGGTATTTGTCGTTGCACAGGTCAGTGATGGAGAATAACTTCTGGTCGTCTGGCCTCTTCCCCATTGCATATCTTTGCACTTTTGATCATTTCGTCCCTAACATTTCTGTAACAATATCTCTCTTTTTTTCCATCAGAGAACGTTTTGTACTCACAGCTTACAATTTACAATAATTATCTATTAAACACAGATTTGTTATGGGGAAATGTCGTCATTTGACTCCAGTAAACACAATGCATCAGCAGGAAGTCTCAAAAATGAATTAGAGAGAAAAAGTGTGGCGGGCGTTAACAGTAGGGTGATGGCAAGGAAGTCTTTGAAACTGAAAGAGTTGGAGCTCATCAACAGAGATAAACTATCCCAAAAATACCAGCTTAAACACAAAATGCTGCTCTGCAGACTCATGAGAAGAGTCCAGAGGAAGAAGGACATCCCTCACCTAGAAATAAAACAGTTCAACACAGAGAAACTCTGGTTTTCTATGTCTGATTGCTAACTGGTTCCAGCTGACAGGAGAGCAGGCGGCTGATGAAAGCTGAAGGTTCTGCCTCTCATGAACCAAAAGCAAAAAACTGAAACAACAATGCAAACCAAATACATAGAGAACAAAAACACATGGAAGAACCAAGAAACTCAATCTTTTAAACTGTGTTCAGTCTAAAGGAGTAGTTATTACAGATTACCGGATTATGATTTCAACCCTAAAACTCTCAAAAATTTTAATATTTTGGCTTCAGTCGTATGCAATCACATTTTTTGTGTAATTCATTACAATATTTCACAACCAATGAAATTTGAATTCATTAAATGGTTTCAAAAAATGATTTGCTGACAGATGGGAAGTGACACCAGGAGCATGTTTGGCTATAAGATACAAGAACAAATTGGCAAAGAGGTGAAGAAAACAAAACCTCTGACTCATCAGAGGCAAACAAAGAGCCCAGATATGAAGCAAATCTACAGTTTTTCATCCCACAAAAAACTGTGGTGATTGTGCAGAAGAGAAACTACAGAATGTTTCAATGAAGCTCATAGTGAGAAAGACGACAGAGTTAAACAACACAGACTGAATGTTTGCTGTCAAGGACACTGACAAACTACTGAGAGGAAAGCAGAGAGTTTGAGATGTAAAGTGGTTTTATTCCAGATAACAAAGCTAAACATGCAGCAGTTCAAATGTCATTGCTGATGCGTTGTGCTCACACACTTCATCTCAAACACACCTGTTTTTATGTTCAATCTGCTAATTAAAAACATTTGATCAGTTTGGTTAGAAAGCAGCTTTATTTTTCACTACATTCACATGCGGGCAGAAGACTGTTTTGTGTTTTGCATTAAGTTACTGACAACCAAAATCTGTTGTGCATTTGTTTACATGTGAGGGTAATTTTGGTCATTTTTTCTTCTGACTTTCAGCTAGTTTTCACTGTCAATTTGTTGTGAATATTTTTGTAGTTTTATAGTTTTGCTTGTATTTTTCTGGAACAGTTTTTTGCGCAGCCTGCATTTCCCTCCCTCTGAAGTGTGAAGAGCGGAACGCAGATATAAAGGGATCGCGTGAATACAGATATTTTCTGTAATATGCCTGCTATACTTTCAACATGTGGCATTGTTTCAAGTTTCCACTTTCCTGATCATCAGCTGTCACACACAAAACGTTTATATTCATGTTTGATTGACCTGCACTGCAGTAATGTGATTACAGGGCAGGTGGGCCCAGGATCGCCCATCGGCCTTACTTATTGGATTGAGGCAAGTGGGTTGTATATCATCTATTGTTCCTGGGTGGGGGCATTGACTGGCAATTCACAAAATTGAATTTGCAACTCTGCGTATGATAAATTTCGGCCTCTGTTTTGCAGATAATGGGTCCTTGTTTGTTCCACGCTTCGCCTTTATTTCCCTGCACTGCCAGTACGCAGAATTGTTGTTGTTTGCTGGCATGTTGGAGCAGCTCAGTAAACAGAATCCTGCTCTCTTATTGATTGAACATCTGAGAGAGACTGTCGAGTGTGAGCTCTGCAAAACAGGCTGCAGATACAAGGAAATACCTCCGAGGCAGGAGAGAGAGGAGGAAAGAAGGAAGGAAAGAGGAAGAGAGGGGCATATAGGTGAAAGAAATTGGCAGCAAATTGACTTGCTCTGCCGAAAAAAGCATTTCACAAATGTAGTTCCTTCTTAACAAGTGCTAATTGCTCCAATCCGGGTCCAGGAACAAAGAGAGAACAGCGTGTCGGTGCAGAGAGTGACATTTAGTTTTCCATGCTGGAGCTGATGGTGGGTTGCTTAATAATACAGCAGCTCTCTCTAAATCACAGGTGGTCACTTTCTGCTGCCTTTTCTGAGCAAAGTTTTAAAAAGCAGATGTTAAATAACAGTCTTCTGCCTGCAGACGTGCTGCTGCTGCTGAGCGAGAAGTCTCCAACCTCAGCCGGGTTTTATTCAAACACATTCCTACTGTCCATCTGTCCATCAGGCAGGTAATTATAGAAACACTGGCATGTTTGATTGCAAAGATGCACCAACATCAAAGTAAACCAGCTTTTACAATGAGAGATCATCCTTTTTCTGCTTAGAAACTTCAAAATCCACATTGAAACAATAGAAATGTTGAATATCCTCTTCCGTTTTGGCAAATCACATATTTCAAGACACTGATAGAGGTGGTTTGTTAATTTGAGAAACATAATAGCCTTTAAATACAAAAATGTTCTTTATGAATGCAAATGAAATGTATTATTTTCTCATAATTCCTGTTAAAAGTCCAAATTTGTATACATTTACACTTGATAATACAGTGGCTACACATTGGTAATATCAAAAGAGAAGTTTTTTCTGAAATATTAAGATCAATCCGACAGAGTTATAGGAGGTTTTCTTTAACAAATTAGAACTGAAATCTCATTAATATCTAAAAGCAACACTTTGAAAACCCTTACGGCGAATCATCAGTTTCTACAGGTTTGTCCCAACAGCAGAGGGACTGAAGTCAGGACTGAAAACAGAAATGTTCTCCTGTAGGGGTCAAGGGTCACTACCAGGTTGTTTTCCTCATGTCTCAAACTCTTTACGCGTGTTGAATTTGCAGTTTATAACGTCTTTATTTTTAATTATGCCTAACTTTAATGTTTATTGTTCTATTTAACTTCTGCAATTCTTTTAATCCCATCCACTCAACCAAACTTTCTTTGCCTAAACTTCACAGTGAAGCATTTTGGATAACAAAGAGTTTATGTTACATTGAGGAAACAACAATACTGCTTTTATATATGCAGATTAACTTTAAGTCAGATATAAAGAAGTACTGTTCTAAGTGTAAGTGGATTTTTGAATAATAATAAAAAAGTTCCTGGTTAGTGAAAAAACTGCACAAAGTAAATCTTAAGTCCAACTTAAGAAAAACATGTCAAGTTGCTCTGATTGGCTGAAACTACATCTGTTTCCATAATCATTGCTTACACATTATCAATCCATGAAGCTGCAAAACAATAAGATTCTTCTTTCTTAAACAACTCAAAACTAAAACATTAGAATCAAATCACAGCTAAAAGTTGCAAAGACAACTAATTCAGACAATCTGAGCAATTTCAGCACTAACTAGAAGTCAGAGAGAGGAGAAATAAACTTCAAGCTAACTTTAAATGATGTGGTCGCATGCTCCCTCAGGTAGGAGTCCATACTCACATTTCCGTCACGTTCTCACTCTCCTGAAGCGCCAGCGGTGGGATGCTGCTTATCCCATTGGGCTCTAGGCACTGCAGCATGGCAAAAGAGCACCGGCAAGCAGACGGGCATCCTCCCAAGGAGGGTGCAGGCGACAGGCTGAGCAGGGCGAGCACCAGGGGCGAGAGGAGCGCCAGGGCCCTGGGTGCCACATCCATCTCTTTGAGGGAAGTATCGCCTGAGAGGGGAGCAGGAGCTGGTGTCTGAGGGCTTCACCTAATGAAGAGTTAATGAAGAGTGGTGGAGAGCTTCCCCACACTGCTCTCCAGCTCGTCAGGGTTTGATGGGGAGCCACAGCTGTACTGAGCAGCAGGAGGGGCAGGCACAGAAGCAGGCTGAAGGCCCCTGGGGACATGCTGGTGGTGGGCTGGAGCTTCTCCTCTTTACCTCCCTCTCTCCTCTTCTCCTTCTCCATTCAGGGAGGAGCAACATATTAACATGGGCCAAAGTCACCAGACACCTCGGTGAGCGTGATAGGAGTTGGGAGGGGCTGGAGGTGAGGGTGTGTGAGCAGACCCAAGAAGTCAGGGCTGCTCCTCCTGCTGCTGCAACAGCAGCAGCAGCACTCTGCACTGATGATCACTGATTGTTTTAGAGTTCACCGCCAGAGATTACAGACACATCTAACGCAGATGAAAATGAAAGTGCCGCCTTAACGACAACAAACACATTTGGACCTAAAGAGAAACGATCAAGAGTCAGCATGCAGCTTCTGTTATTGCAGCCCTGAAACCTGGGTGTAGTGATGGACTCTGACCTGAACCTTCAGAGTCACATAAAGACAGTTACAAAGTCGGCCTTCTTTCACTTGAAGAACATTTCTGGAATTAGAAAGATGTCTCAGAAAGATCTGGAGAAATGCATCCAGTTGCATTGATTACTGCAAAAGTTACTGCCTAAAAAAAGTCAGACTCAATCCTCTACACTGCTGGCAGCATTCTGACTAAAACCAGGAAGATGGAGCACATCACCCCAGCTCTAAAGTCCGTACACTCAGAGAATAGACTTTAAAATACTTTAGTTGGTTTTTGAATCACTGAACAGCTTAGTACCACAATACATGATAAAAGTATTTCTGCTCTGCTTCCCTAGAATCAGAACCACACATGGAAAAACAGCATTCAGCTTCTCTGTGCCACAAATCTGGAAAAACTTCCAGAAAACTGCAAAACAGCTGAAAAGCAGCATTTCTTTAAATCTGTACTAAAACTCACCTCCTTTGAGTTGCTTTTGAACTCTAATAAAAGAAACATTGATGAACACATTGATGAAAATTTTGATGTGCATTAATGATTTCAACAATAGCACTGGACAAAATGCCATTTCCATTTGCATGTTTTCATGATGTAAAGCACTTTGGACTGCCTGGCTGCTGAAATGTGCCATACAAATGAGCTTAAAAAGAAAAGTTTGCTGATGCTGATTGCTGATGTCATTGTCATCAGCAGCAATCACTGAAATGCATACAATCCATGCTGACCAAACTTCATTTTCTGGAAGCCCTGAGGCCTGATACAAGAGGCCTTATTACTGTAAATCATAAGAAAGCAATTCAACCTGATAAAAGCTCAAACCTCAGTGAATGTGGCCCAGTGAAGGTGGAGAACTCCAACACAGAGTTGATTGAAAAGCAGATTTACAAAACAATACTTGCAGCAGTGCAGTGAATCGATAAAACAGAAAGAAACTGAAAACAAAGACGAAGACAGACATAAGGAGCCGATACCGAGACAAAAGAAGAGACAACAATTCAAGAGCAAACAGAGAAAACATGATGCATCATGTGAACAGAATTCAGGTGTGAGGAACCAAGACTAAAACTCCTCAACTGGACTTCAATGAAACAGGAAGTACAAGACAACAACTCACACTTTTTCCATAGTGTGGCTGGTTCCACTACTTACATGTTTTTCCCGCATTTTTTGGGTAGAGCTCAAAATTTCACTCAAGTAAGAGTAAAAATATTCCATAAAAAGGCTACTCAGTCATTTAATATTTAAAAATGCGCAGTTGAACTCTGATCTTATTACATAAAGAATTCTTAACAGTTGTCAAACAAAACGTCAACACCTAAAAAAATGAGTAAAAACGCTAACATGCTAATCAGAAAGTTAGCTCTGTTGTTAGCACATTACTGTACAAGTGTGCCCAACACTGGATATTACTAATGAGACAACAATGGCATTAAAAGCAGAGGAACTGAGAAAATTACTGAGTTACTTATGTATGTTGTTTTTGAAAGTCCTTATTAAATCCCCAGGAATGAACTTATTTAGTTCCTATGGGGTCCTTACAGTGAACTGGCACTTTAAATGAAACAAGTTGAGATGAGTCCATTTGGAAACCTCTTCTAAATTACACTTTCATTCTATAGTTTATTTGATTTCCATAAATCTCCTTTCCACATTGATATTTGAACTCTGCATGCCTTCACTGACCATCGGTCAACTGCAACCATCAATGTGCTGCAGAGACACGCCACTGTCCATCCCACATCTGCTCTCTGTATGATCAGAGCTGGTTTCCTCCCCCGGGACACACACTGCGCCCCGCCCTCATCCCTCTTAGTCACTCTGCACATGAGCAGGGGTCAAAGTGTCCCAACCACAATTACTGACCATAAGCCAAATTCCCGTTTTTGCTGCTGTCATCAAAATTATCTGCAGGCTTAATTACGTTTCCTTTTACGCCTCCTTTTTCCTCAGCCTTAGCTCAGCAGATATGACGGAGGGACAAGGCACTCATTCACAGGGAAAGTGTGTGAGAGCTGAAGCTCAGCAGATTGAAGCAGGAAAAAGCAGCTTGGGAAGCAGCACACCTTGCAAAACAAGCACATGCAAACAACATGCAATAAAAGAACATGCAATAAAAGCAGGATACATCAGCTGAGGGAACTCATGTTCCTCCCATGTGTTCCAGGCTACTTTGGGTAATTTACTGCACTTATTTACTTGTTACAAGTTTGCTGATTTATACATATGTCTTAAGGTTTTACAAAGCCAGAGAAATGTATTTATCCAGTGCCAGGGATTTCAGAGGAGGCCCTAAGTGGTTGAAGAGGCAACAATAATAATTACATCTAACAAATGACTAAAATATTAGTGATATATTAAAATTATATAAAGCTTCTCCAATAATACAACAGTAAAAATTCTGCCTGATTCTAGGTTTTCCTTTCTGTTCCTGGACAATGAAATGTCATAATGTTTGGACTTTTAGTTTGATTTGTGTTTCTGTTCTGATTATTTCTTTATCGTTTTTTTATTATTTCTTATCATGTTGTGTCAATGAATTTAGTCTCATTGTTTGTACTTTTGATTTGTTTCTTTAGATCATTTTTTCTTTTAATATCCGTTGCTTGTTTCTCTTTCACCTCACCTGCGTGTCTCTCCCAGCTGTTCATCATCTCCTCATCTGGCCCAAGCTGCTCCTCCCCAGCTGCATCCACTCACCTGTAATTAGCTCTTCTGGTTCCCTCGTCATTTCGATTCCCTCCTCAGTATATTTAAACCTTCTATTGTTTGCTGACTCCTTACTCTGCACTTTGTTTTAATCCATGACATCCTGCTACGCTTCTCTTCTCTTTTCCTGTCTGCATTTTGGTCGAGCCATAAACTTATCCAACATAATAAAAAGGTTTCATTTACAACAGTATGAACATGTAAAGAGGAACAAATCTGCTTCTTGTGGGTTGCTTTCTGATGAGATGCTGTGAAAGACAGAATGGTGAGTGACTGGCAGGACAGTCAGGAAGGACGTAACAGGAAGTGGCGGTTTTCCTGGCAGAGTTGGTTTCTTCAGAGAATCAGATCTTGAGCGACTGAAATTCTTGGAGTTTAAACAAAGGAAGAGAGAAAAGTGTCTGTTTCAACAGAATAGGACAATCAAGTTCATTTCACCAACAAGGTGCTTGACATCATAAAACCATGTCAACATGAGAATTAGCAAAAACAGTGAAGGTCTTAAAGCTATCAGAAACTTTGCAGCCATATGGATGTTTTATAAAAATATCATTTCATTTTATTTATTTTAGGCTCTTTGTTCAGTAACACATCTTCAATCAAACATGTTTTATATAATTATGATTCTTTATTTCACACCTTTTCCTTTGGTCTATTCTGCGGAGATGACAGCAGTAGTGTGTTTGTGTGAAAGCAGAGAAGGTTTGACAGTTGCTTTGGCATTTTTACTAAAACTTCACTGCTTTACATTCATACACTGATCAGTTTTTAAAATGCTACAGAACTAAAATCTGGAGGCTATCAACATGCTCTTGATTAATAAGTAGGATTATCTGTAGCAGTATTCTACTGCAGTGTCTCTGAATAGTTCGATCACACCGGGGTTACATGGAGCGTCCAGCACCACGGACAGCAGCAGCTCCACAGAGGTCAGCTTGAACTGGAGGTCTGTGGATGGACCTCAGCTCTGAATAAACTCAGTTTGAATCAGTTACTTTATGTTTGACACATGAAGGAACCCAGCAGATCACAGTAAAAGTTTTGTCTTATGTATTGTTACTTTTTCAGGGTGTCAATTCAGAAGAGATGCTGGCATCAGGCCTAAATGGGAGGAAAGTCATTTCAACTTGTTTTTTTTTTCCTTTCTGAAGAAAATCATAATTGAAAACTATTTTCAGATTTTTTCTTTTTCAGGAAGAAAAAATCTGGTTGATTTGAAACCTTTCAGTTGGGGGAAAAAAGCAAAAACTGAAGAAAACTGGGATGTAAATAGTTAGAGAGAGTAAATACTTTTTCACAGTACGATATATCAATGCTACAATAGAAGTGGCTGATGCTACTGGGATGACAGCAAGAATTTATTTTAAAAATAACTGTGATAACTTGAGAAACATTCCTGAGGAACTGCTCTTTTGTTTGTCTGACTAAAAGTTTTCTTAATTATCAGAAGATTAAAAAAATCTGGTGAATTTACATCTTAAGTCTCTCTTATAAAAGAACAAAAGTGTCTCAAAAAACAAATTGCTAAACAATAATGAACACTAACAAAACTATTGAAGAATGCAGGAAGCCTAAATTGTAACGCTGATGGCAAGATAATTTATCTGAAAATACTTCTTTTCCGTCTCTTGTTGCTGCCATTATTCTGAGTTTGAACCTTTTTCACCTCTAGTCTTCCAGAAACGGAATCAGCAAAATGAGGGGGATAAATTTAGTCACACTGCTTTCAGGTGGGAGAAAGAGTAAGTCTT